AATTTAAAAATCATTTTTCTTTGTCATTGGAAGGCAGACTCACATCTACTCAGCTATATGTATGTGTCAAACATTTACACACCATTTTTGCCTAAGACTGGCTCCATCATCCAGTGTTACAGTACTGTGTACACTAATTTGTGGACCAGCCATTTGTGTTTAAGTGAAGTGATAGTTGCCTTTCACACTGAAAGAAGTGTGAAATATGGGAGAATTCTTACTAAAAGGGAGAGGATAAAAGGCATTCAAAGAGATACTAAAAATTTATCCTATTTATGAATTAGAATATTTACTAATTTTCTAGCACTACTTTTCTTATTGTAGATTTAACTTTAATGGTTAAAATAGTTTCCACTATTACCCATGTCTTTAAAAGTAAATAAATAGAATTATAAAGTCACTTATTTAGAAAATCAGAATAATGCAGTGGGTTGCATTTCACCTTGTTGGCTAGGTCAGCTGTTGCCTGCAGATGACTCATTTATGTGAGATTGCAGTTTCTAGGAATCACTGTCTTGGAATAGATGTACAATATCCATTGTAGCAGGTTAAAACACATACATTTGTGGTTTAATCAGTTACTAAATTAAAAAAAAATGGCTCATTTGGTTGGGCGGCTGCCTTCGGCTCAGGGTCATGATCCTGGAGTCCCGGGATCGAGTCCCACATCGGGCTCCCTGCTTGGCAGGGCGTCTGCATCTCCCTCTGACCCTACCCCCTCTCGTGCTCTCTATCTCTCATTCTCTCTCTCTCAAATAAATAAATAAAATCTTAAAAAAAATGTAATCTTTTAATCATGACTTAGCTAACTTTGAGAAATAGGTATGTTGCCAAGGAGAAATCTGAGGGAAAAAAAAAAAAGTTGTAGAATGTGGGATGGTGATCCTCATGACCAAAATATTTTTACCATATTGGCTGTTGCTCTCTGCAGATGGCTAAGTCTTGATTGTTTAGTGACTAATTGTCCAGGTTGTGAATTTCCCCTGTCCTACATTGTTTCCTCATCACCATGATATGTTAGTAACTTTTTTAAGATTTTTTTTTTAAGAGCAGTTTTAGGTTCATACCAAAATTGAGAGGAAGGTACAGAGGCTTCCCAGATACCTTCTGTTTCCACACATGCTTTGCCTCGCCCAATAGGGGTACCTCCATCAAAGTGGCGTGAGCCTACATTGACATCATAATCACCCAAATTTCATAGTTTACATTAGGGTTTATTCTTGGTGTTGTACATTCTGTGGGTTTGGATAAATATATAGTGACATATATCAATCATTATAATATCATACTGAGTATTTTCACTGCCCTGAAAACCCTCTGTTTTCCTATTCTTCGTTGCCACTACCCCAACTCCCAGCCACCACTGAACTTTTACCATTTCCATAGTTTTGCCTTTTCCAGAATGTCATATAGTTGAAATAATATAGTAGGTAGCCATTTCAGAATGGCTTTTTTCACTTAGTAACATGCATTTAAAGTTTCTTCATGTGTTTATGGCTTGGTAGCTCATTTCTTTTTAGTGCTGAGTAATATTTCATTGTTTGAATGTACTACAGTTTATCCATTCACCTACTGAAGGACATTTTGGTTGCTTCCAAGTTATGGCAGTTAAGAATAAAGCTGCTATTCACATCCATATCAGGTTTTAGTGTGGACATAACTTTCCAGCTCTTTTGGATAAGTACCAGGGAGTGCAGTTGCTGCATCATACAGTAAGAATGTGTTTAGTTTTGTGAGCAAGTGCCAAGCTGTCTTCCAAAGTGGCTTTACCATTTTGCATTCTCACCAGCAGTGAATGAAAGTTCCTGTCACTCCACATTCTCACAAACTTTGGTGGTGGTTGTGTTCTGGATCTTGGCCATCGTAATAGATGTGTAATAGTGTCTCATTGTTCTAATTTGCATCTTCCTGATAACATGATGTGTTGAGCATCTTGTGCTTATTTGTTATCTGTATATTTCTTTGGTGAGGCAGCTGTTAAGATTTTGGCCCTTAAAAAAAAATACTTAAATTCAATTGAGTTAACATATAGTGTATTCTTAGTTTCAGGGTTAGAATTTAGTGATTCATCAGTTGCATATAACACCCAGTGCTCATTATATCAAGTGCCCTCCTTAATGCCCATCACCCAATTACCCCATCTCCCCAACTACCCCCCTCCCCTCCAACAACCCTCAGTTTCCTATAGTTTAGAGTCTCTTACGGTTTGCCTCCCTCTCTCTTTTTATCTTATTTTTCCTTCCCTTTCCCTATGTTCGTCTGTTTTGTTTCTTAAATTCCACATATGAGTGAGATCCTATGGTATTTGTCTTTTTCTGACTGACTTATGTCACTTAGCATAATACTGTCTAGTTCCATCCATGTCATTGCATATGGCAAGATTTCATTCTTTTGGATGGCTGAGTAATATTCCAGTGTGTGTGTGTGTGTATTACATCTTTATCCATTCATGTGTCAGTGGACATCTGGGCTCTTTTCATATTTTGGCTATTATGGATATTGCTGCTATAAACATTGGGGTGCATGTGTCCCTTTGAATCACTATTTTTGTATCCTTTGGATAAATACCTAGTAGAGCAATTGTGGGTTGTAGGGTAGTTCTATTCTTAACTTTTTGAGGAACCTCCATACTGTTTTCCAGAGTGGCTGCATCAGTGTGCATTCCCACCAAGAGTGTAAGAGGGTTCCCCTTTTTCCGCATCCTTGCCAACATCTCTTGTTTCCTGAGTTGTTAATTTTAGCCATTCTGACCCAGTGTGAGATGGTATCATTGTGGTTTTGATTTGTGTTTTCCTGATGAGGAGTGATGTTGAGCGTTTTGCATGTGTCTGTTAGCCATTTGTATGTCTTTTTTTTTTTTTAGATTTTATTTATTTTTCAACAGAGAGACAGCGAGAGAGGGAACAGAAGCAGGGGGAGTGGGAGAGGGAAAAGCAGGCTTCCCACCAAGCAGGGAGCCCGATGTGGGACTTGATCCCAGGACCCTGGGATCATGACCTGAGCCGAAGGCAGACGCTGAACGACTGAGCCACCCAGGCGCCCTATTTGTATGTCGTCTTTGGAGAAATGTCTGTTCATGTCTTCTGCCCATTTCTTGATTGAATTTTTTATTTTTTGGGGTGTTGAGTTTGATAAGTTCTTTATAGATTTTGGATACTAGCCCTTTATCTGATCAGACATTTGCAAATATCTTCTTCCATTTCCTAGGTTGCCTTTTAGTTTTGATGTTTCCTTTGCTGGCAAAAGCTTTTTATCCTGATGAAGTCTCAATAGTTCATTTTTGCTTTTGTTTCCCTTACCTCTAGAGACGTGTCTAGCAAGAAGTTGCTGCAGGATTTTGGCTCATTTTTTAATCAGGTGGTTTTCTTACTGTTGAATTTTGAGAGTTCTTTGTATATTTTGAGTAACAGTCCTTTATCAGATGTGTCTTTTGCAAATATTTTCTTCCACTTTCTGATACATCGTCTCATTTTCTTGACATTGTCTTTCACAGAGCAGAAGTTAAAATTTTTTTTTAGAAGTTTTAAATTTTAATGAAGTCTAGCTTATTCTTTCATAGATCATGCCCGCTGTTGTATCTAAAAAGTCACTGCCATAAAAAGGTAATCTAGATTTTCTTCTGTATTATCTATGTTATCTTCTAGGAGTATTATAGTTTAGCATTTTACTTTAGGTCTGTGATCCATTTTGAGTTAATTTTTGTGAACACTGTAAGGTCTGCGTCTAGATTCATTTTTTTGTATGTGAATGTCCAGTATCCAGTAACCTCATCATTTGTTGAAAATAGTATCTGAGCTCCATTGTACTGCCTTTGTTCCTTTGTTAAAGATCAGTTGGGTATATTTATGTTAGTCTATTTCTGGGCTCTCTATTCTCTTTTGTCTATTTTTTTCATAATATCAGACTCTCTTGATTACTGTAGCTTTATAGTAAATCTTGAATTTGGGTTGTATTAGTACTCCAGCTTTGTTCTTCCTTAATATTATGTTGGCTATTCTTTTGCCTCTCATATAAACTTTAAAATCCGTTTGTCAGTATCCACAAAATAACTTGCTGGGGGTTTTATTGGGATTACATTTAATCTATAGATCAAGTTGGGAAGAATTGACATCTTGACGATACTGAGTTTTCTTATCCATGAGCATTAATAATTAGGAATTTTTACTTGAAGGTAGAGTTAAGCTGAAAGACTGATCAGCTATAAATTGCTATAGCAAAAGATTTGATTATACAGAACATTGAAACTGAGCTGATGTGAGGCTTAATAATTATCTGTTGATTTTATGTATTCCTTCATTTTCATGGATGACTAAGATGTTTTATAGCATTATGTTAAAGAGCTAAAAGATTGTTTTTGGTAGGGAGAGAGAGAATCCCAAGCAGGCTCCACACCCAGTGCGGAGCCTGACACTCCCACAAACCCGAGATCATGACCTGAGCTGAAATCAAGAGTCAGACGCTCAATGAACTGAGCTACCCAGGCACCCCAAAAGATTGTGTTTTCTAATCCCACTTTGGAAATTTTATTTAAGTTGACAAATATTTTAAGTTTTAAAATTTCCTGAGCTTCTCCAGAGGGATCTCTAAAAGCACTTAAAATAGTGGTTCATAGAATTGGATATGAACATTGTTAACACATATTGGTTCCCAGGAAACACAAGATGCGAATAGAATTTGATCTTTATGGACGGTGTCTCTTTCAGCCTTTTATAATTCGCATAACTTGTTCGACTCCTGTATATTAAATCATATTTTAGGATTGTCTACCCATGGATTATATTTTTTCAGAAAATAAGGAGCATTTATGCAATTCTATATGGCATCTGTCACCATTTTGTCCCAGAGAAAACTCTTACTTTTTAAAAAAAAAAAAATGATGAATTAATGATGTTACAAAAATTAAACCTTCCTAGTGTCTAGATAGCCACTCTATTTATAAATTTAACAGTATACATACAGAATAATACATAATTAAAATATTCTTTAAATTTTTTGTACAGCTTTTACCCACCTATTGATGAACCAGCTATTGGAAATAAAAACATTGATCTGTCAGGACGACAGGAAAGAAAGCAAATCTTCAAAGGGAAAACGTTTGTATTTCTAAATGCCAGACAGGTAATCTTATGAGCTAAATTTTCTTAAAACATTATAACCTAGGATAAATTATTACTGTTATCAGCAGTATATTTTTTTTGAGATTTTGTATAGAAGTGTGAAGTGAAACTGTCTAGGCCCCAGAACTTGCCTGGTATTCATGTATATATTTTTTTGGCATACGTTAATTGGCCAATAAATTAAGTTTATATAAATATATAAGTGAGGGGGTGGGGACAGAAAACTGATTCAAGTCCTTACTTGGTCAGTTAGTAAATAGATGTTGAATGTCTTCTGTGTGCCGAAATGGGGATTCACAGAGTTTATGTTGTAGGTGGAAAATGCAAGCAAGCCCACAGTTAGAGCGCTGTGAAGTAAGTATGATAAGGAAGTGCAAAGAATGTAACAATTCCAGGGCTGCAGAGATACCTGGTAAAATGGGGATTTTCTGAGTGGAAACTCGGATTGTCTTCTCAAAAAGTAGAACCAGTTCTATTTCAGTTCTACTTTTATTTTACTTCCCTAATACAAATGAATGGATAAAGAGATGTGGTATATATACAATAATATTACTCAGCCATAAAAAATAATGAAATATTGCCATTTGCAATGACATGGATGGAGCTAGAGTATAATGCTAAGCTAAATAAGTCATTCAGAGAAAGACAAATACCATATGATTTCATTCATATGCGGAATTTAAGAAACAAAACAAATGAACAAATAGAAGAAAAAAAGAGGCAAACCAAGGAACAGATTCTTAACTGTAGACAACAAACTGATGGTTACCAGAGGGGAGGAGGTGGGGTGATGGGTGAAATAGGTGATGGGGATTAAGGAGTGTACTTGTGATGAGCACTGGATGATAGGGAAGTGTTGAATTACTGTATTGAACACCTGAAACTAATATAACACTGTTAACTATACTGGAATTAAAATAAATTTAAAAGAACATACTCAAGGAATTGAAATGTGGCTATTTCATTATATTTTTTCTATTTCTATTTTTAGCATAAAAAGTTAAGTTCAGCAATTGTTCTTGGAGGAGGAGATGCTAGGTTGATAACAGAAGAAAATGAAGAAAAAGATAGTTTCTTTTCAGTCCCTGGAATTTGTGTTGTTGATGTAGGAATAACAAATTCACAGACTCTGATTCCTGACTCTCAGAAAAAATGGATTCACTCAATTATGGATAAGCTCCAAAGGTACAGAATTATCTTTGTTGGTAAAAAAATAAATAAGAAAGGCAATTTTGTGTGTAACTTTTTTATACCAAATTAACAAGATAAAGGATATACAAGAATTACATTTTATTGTGTAAACGTTGCTACTGAGATCATTTTTGTATGTTTCCTGTTGGTACTTCTGCAAGGTTTTCTTTGGAGAATATTCTTAGGGTTAGAACTGCTGGGTCATAGGTTATGTGAATACTCAACCTCTGGAGGTAGTATCAAATTGTTTGCCACTTTATACTCCCACCCACAGTATGTAAGAGATCAAGTAGATGCACATTGTTTTCAACACTTGTTATTGTTAGACTTTACCATATTTGTTAGTTGAATGGATATATAGTCCTATCCTGTGATTTTTGTTTCTGTTTTTCTCATCACTAGTGATGCTTAACATTTCTTCCGATATTTATTGGACATGTGTTTTTCCTGTTCTGAAGTATCTGCTCATGTCTTTTACCCAGTTTTCTAATTGTATTTTTTTATACGGATTTCCCAGTTTTTGTGTGAGTGTGTGTTTTAGTTCTATACAATTTTATCACTTGTTGGTACATATATTCACCACCTTAGTCAAGATACAGAACAGTTCCATCACCACAGGGATCCCTCCTGTTCTTTTATAACCACACCCACTTCCCTCCCTACCTTTCCGACTTCCCATTCCATGTCCCCAAATCCTGGAAAACCACTAATTTTTTCTCCATTTCTAAAATTTTGTCTTTTAAAAAAGTGTTGTATAAATGAAATCATAGCATATACACTTTAGGACTGGTTTTCTCATTCAGCACAATTTCTTGGAGATACATCTAAGTTGTGTGTATCAGTTCATCCTTTTTAATTCCTGATTAGTATTGTGTGTATATATATATATGTGTATACTGCAGTTTTTGAGTCATTCTTATATTTTTCCAATTTTTGTTACGAATAAAACCTCTATAAACATGCATGTACAAGTTTCTTTGTGCATGTAAGTTTTCATTTCTTTGGGATAGATTCCCAAGAGTGCAATTCCTGGATCATATAGTAATTATATATTTGTGTATTCTTTTTTATTTGTAGAAGTTCTTTCTATTTCTCGATATTAATCCTTTTTTCAGTTGTATATATTGCAAAATCTTTAACCACTTCGTAATTAATGTTTTACTGTGATACATGAAAGTCCTTAATTTTAACATACTAAAAATTAACAACCTTTTTTTCTTAGTGATTTTTGTATTTTAAGAAATCTTTTTCTATTCATAGATCAAAAAGATATTCACCTGTATTTTTTACTAATTTGCTAGTGTTTTGATACTTTGTTTTTGAAATTTGCTTTTAATCTCTTTGGAATTGATTCTGTTTTATACCAAAGTCCCATATATGCGTAGCAATGTTTTTGGCTTTTCTCTATTCCATTCATCAAGATGTCCTTGTACCAACACCACATTTACCACATTGTCTTAACTACTGTAACTTCAATTAAGTCCTCATATCTGGTATGGCAAATGTCTCTGCTCTTCTTTAGAAGCATCCTATCCATTCCTGGTTCTTTGTTTTTCCATATACATTTTATTTTGTTTTTTTTCCATATACATTTTAAATCATCTTTTCAAAAACCCTGTTGGGATTTTGATTAGGAGTTCCATTGAATTCACAAATCAGTTTGGTGAGAATTAACAATTTTTACAATTTCCCTATAAAGATCTTGAGTACCTTTTATTAGATTTATTCCTAGGTACTATATATTCTGTGGTAGATATTATATGTCTGATAGGTAGAATATAAATAGATAATATTATCTCTTTAATTACATTTTCTAGTTGTTTATTGCTGGTGTATATAAATTCAGTAGACATTTAGATATTAATCTTATATCCTGCCACCTTGTTAGACTCCCCTTTTATTTCTAATGTATTTATAGTCCTTTTTTTGTAAAAATCATATCTATGAATAATGTTTCTATCCTGTTTTTTTAATCCTTACGCTTCTGATGCTTCTCCTTTTTCTCTCTTTTGTATCTACTGGGATGTGTAGAGCAGTGTTGTATAGAGGAAGTATTAGTAGCCACATTTATCTCACTGTTGAATAAAAGGATGTGTTTCCCCATTTAGGATGTTTCCCCATTTAGGATAATGTAATTATCTGTATAACATTATTAATTACATATTAAAAATGTTTTTATTTTATGAAGCCAACCTTTCTAATTTACATAATATATTTACAGTTTCAAAAAAGTAAGATAATAAAATACCAATTCTCAATTGCCTGAATTATAAGTAGGTATATGTGATCACTTGATTATAATACTTTAAAAATATTCATATAGTACTATCATAATTGCACATATAGTTGAGTTCTGTTACATTAACCCAGGACATACAAAAAACAAATGTTAAGCATTTGAAAAATACCTTTTAAACTAATACAACCACTTAAAACATATTTGCAATAAATATTAAAAGTAGTTTTGTAGTTCTTAAAGTCTGAGGTATAGTTTTATATAGCAGTGTTACTAAATTGTCTTTGTTTCATTCACATAATAGAAAACAGAAGGTAGGTTTACTATAAGATTCCTTTAAGAAGATTCCTTAATGCATGTAAATTTGGTAAAATGATTTTATTTGCTAAACAAAATTACAAAACATGTATAGATACAGCTTATGGTATTTCTTTGTACTTCCTCCCTTCTTCCCTTTCTCTCCTCTTCTGTCTCTCTTTTAAGTTTTATCTTTGGATCCTAGTAATAGATGTGCTTATAAAAATTTATTATTTCATCTGGTGTTACTGTTCTTCTGAAAATTATAGAATTTCAGAAATGGAATTTCTGATTCAGATAGAGCTATCTCCTTTACTCTAGGCCTTTATTTTACAGATGAGATGACTGAATTGCTAAAGGTGGTGGGCTTGCCCAATATAACATTGCCCCAGTTGAGTAAGCCAGTACTGTGTGTATTTGAAATTCTCTCCATACCATAAAATTGTGTTATCTCTTTGGGGAAGGAATAAAAAGATTCCACTTGACATCATGTTAATAGAAGTTGTTAGTTTTAATATATTACCATGCTTAAACTATTTTATTCTCATAGGCAGGGGCTTAGACCTATTCCTGAAGCAGAAATTGGACTGGCGGTCATTTTCATGACTACAGAGAATTACTGTGATCCTCAAGGTCAGCCCAGTACAGGTAATTAAAGCATTATTTTATTGGTTCTTTAGCAACTTTATGTGTAACTTGGTGATAGGCTGTATGCACATTACTCTGTATTTGTTAGGGATGACCATTTTCACCATCTTTTAAAACTCATCTATTTACCATTTCATTTATTTATTTGATAAATATTTGTGGCTGCCATGTAATACTGGGTACTGTTTCTAAAGAAGTGCTGAAGATACAGTGGTGAATAAAGTAAAACAAGGTATCTGTTACTGTGAACTTTATATTCTAAAGGTCAGGTTTCAAACAGTTAACAGGCAAACAGACATATCTGATCAGTTCAGTTAAAGTCAAGCACCAAGAAAAAAGCTAAAACAAGACCTGAAATTCTCCTTGTGCAGCTTCTGCTCAGGAGGTCTGCTGCCATCTGTTCTCACAGCCACTGCCCCACTTCTTGAACTTCACATTGTCTTCCTTTCATGAGGGCTGTTATAATGGCGCCCAGTAATGGTCCCGCCTCCATACTCATCTCTACAGTTAACAATTCCCTTTGCCAGTAGAATCACCTTTTCTTAAAACATTTTACTAGCTCATTATTTATAAAATAAAACCCTAAGCCCTTCGTCTAGAGTTCTGAGCCCTCAACAGTTTAGCCTTTCTCCTCCCATCCTCATTTTTTTTTAAATACATCTCCCTACAGTTTATATGTGCCATATTATTTATAATTTCCACACTCCTCGATCTTGCTCATCATGGTCCCTGTTCCAACACTGCTCTTCAAAATTTGACTCATTTGGCAGATGTTCACCTCCTTCATGAAGTTTTTCTAAGTTGTTTTCTCTCCCATAACTCTCCTCCAAGTCAGAATTGTTCTGTTTTCTATTCCCCAATAACTTTCTTTTGCATTCTAGCTAGACTTTCTTTCTACTTTGAAATATAACCAGTTGTTTCCATGCCTCTTCAGCCACTAAATTGGTTATAAGCTCTAATTAATTTTGGATTCCCTGACAGCACCAAGCCACAGTACTTGTTTGTACTAGGGTATGAATATTTGCTTAACTGAACTAAATTATTGGCATACAGAATTATCTTTGCCAGTGTGGAGGAACAAAGTTTTATCATCCACTGTTGGAAATGTGTTCATGGCGAAAAGGGCCTTAGAGATCATCTAATCTGTCTTTCTATTAAAAGGTAAGCGAGCTTGTAAGGCTGAGAACAGTTAAGATTCCATAAATAATTCATGGCCAAGCCAATCCTAAAATTTGGGTTTTCTGAACACTTAGACCAGTACCTTTTCTGTTGTATCATTTCATACAGAGTCATAAGGAGTAAAAACCAACATTTTAATTAGTAGTGTTACTTCTTGCACGTACTTATAGGTGGGTCTGTGTAGACTCCATGTCCTAGACATCTGATTTATAAACAATTTTAGAATACAACCCTTTGGGAGGGAATAGAATAAATGCATGTGTCTCTCCCTCCTTTTCTCCCCACCTTATTTTCTTCCATTCATGTTTGTTTGTTTATGAGTTCAAGCATTTATTGAACATCTGTTATATACCTGTAATTATTCTAAATACTTGGAATAAAGAGGTGAGCAAATCAAAGCCCTACCCCTGTAGTATTTTTAGCAAGGAGAACATTATAAATCTTTTGTTGACAAACCCTTATTCTGGGTCATTAGATTCAATTTATAGTTTCTTTTAGTGATAATATAAGCATTTGTAATTACTATTTTTTGCAAACTTCTGTGCAAGCTGAAATGAATTCTAGGGATATGCGTATTTAAGGAAATGACAGTGAGCTTCTATGGGGGTCATATAAGGGAAGTGGCAGAATTTGGAATCAGTAATAAACATTTACTAAGCACATCCTATGTCATGAGGACCTAATAAGTGATGATTTAGCTTAGATACTTAGTAGATGTCAACTTTTTAAAATTTTCAGTTAATGATTTAATTCCATTAACTTACTTATATCTATAATGTCCCAAACATTGCTCAGGGACTGCAGATTTAGAAGTGAACAACAACCAGTTCCTATTCTCAAGGAGATTCTAATAAGGGAAAGTAACAAGTAACCAAGTGTAGTGTAAAGTGATGATGATAACAGCTAATATTTGCATCATACTTACTGTGTTCCAAGCATTTTTCTAACTGCTGTCCATGTATCAATTCATTTTGTTCTCAAAACAAAATGGTCCTGATTTAATGGATGGGAAACTAAGGCACAGAGAGGTTAAATAACACATACAGCTAATGATTAGTGTGTTAAAAGTTAGCAGAGTGATGTAAAGGGTGGTATGGAAGCTGAAATGAAGGATACCTAATTCAATGTGGGAGGTTCAAGGAATGTATGCCAGAAGAGTGACACTTGAATTAAGTTGCTATTCTAGTAAATTAAAAGATGAAGTAATCTTTATGGTTTTCTGGAGTGGCCACAGAATTTATGCCTAAAGCTATTTATGTCTTTTTTTCAAATAGTATTCCTTCAGAAGGTGAAACTCACATTAATTTTGATTTATGTCAGCAGTAGAGTTGATTCTCTTTCTGTGGGGAAGAAATGCAATTTTTTTGTCTCCTAATTTAAACCATAATTTGAATTATTACTTAAGTTGATTTTATTTTTAAGTTGGTAATACTTCACAAAAGATTTGATGTAGCTTTAAAATGATTTGATTTAGATGAGTCTATTACAGATGCCAACAGGCTGCTTTTAGGCTATTTCATTAAATGTTTGTTGGTTCCACTGAGTGAAGATAACTGTGTTCTGTGTTGCCTACTTAATTCCCTCAGCATGGCACAGTCTAGCCATTTTAAGTGACAAAATGTCCATCTTGTGTCTAGCAGTTGTGATTCTTCCCTTCACTTGTGTGATTTACAGCACTGAAGATGACTCCAGGGCCAAGCCTTTCCCAAGGCTTATCAGTCAATGAAAAGCTAATGCCAAGTGCCACCCTGAATACCACAACATATGTAGCTGACACGGAATCAGAGCAAGCAGATACATGGTAAAGCTTCATTGTTGACGAACTATTGTTATTCTATGAATAAATTAATAGTATATTCAAGAAGTAAAGTCAGTGTCTTTATCAGATCAGCTCTTAGGAGATAAAGCATGGGGGAATGGGATGCAGGGAAAATAATATATTAGGTTTAAGGATTAGTAAACTTTCTATAAAAGACCAATAAATATTTTTGGCTTTGTAAGTCATTAATCTCTGTCACAGCTACTCAACTTTGCCATTGTAGCATGAAAGCAGCCATAGACAACATGTAAATGAATGTGTGTGGCTTTGTTCCAATAAAACTTAATTTATGAAAACAAGTGGCAAGCCAGATTTGGCCTGTAAGCCATAGTTTGCTAACCCCTGTCTTATGGTAAAGTTTTGTTGTTGTTGTTCCTTACAAATGTACATGGAAGACTGTAAAGAATTACACTACTTTATTTGTGACTGTTGAAACAAGTTTGAAGTAAATTTCTTTGTACTATAATGTTTCCTTTATTATTATAAATATAGTTTTCTAGTGGTTCTCTATTTGAAGCGGTTTTTTGTTCTTTAGGGGCGGTTTTTTGAGCAAGGGTAGGTCGTTTGTATATGTGGTATTTTTCATTTAAGAGAGTGTATTGTATTTTAAATAATACATAATTACTCATATTGAAAAATACTTGTGATATCACTATATTAGATCATATTTAAATTTTTAATACATCCTTTTTTTATAGAGGCCAGATGTAAGTTTTTAAAGAAACTATTAATGTTTTGAAAGTCATGTGTATGACCACTTGTTTTTTGTGAAATAAGAATTAAAGGTAGTTTATGTAACCATACATTGTGAAACTGTGTGTGTGTGTGTTTTAAATATTTTTCTGGTAGTATAGTTATACTCTATTCTAGGGACTGCCATCTGGCTGAAATGTAACCATATCAACTCATCTGAATCTAAATTCATCTCATTTAGATCTAAATGGGATCTAAATATGTCGTTATGATGCTGGAATTATAGGAGATTGTTCTTTTTCTGATTTTCCTTTTTTAATTAATTTTTTGCATGAAAATAATTCTAAAATTTTAAACAAAGCAAAAATTATCTAAGATTATCACCTACTTTATAATAGAATACTAGTTGATACTCCATGTGTCTATGACAGTTTTTTATAGTAGAGTATGCTAGACATTGTGTGCTATAGGGAATGCAGAAGAGAAAGTTACTTGCCTTTATGGAGCTTTGATGAAAAAGGGACAACTTTTTTGGGATAGTGAAATACATTCCCTTAATTATTGTCTAAAGATAATTATGTTCTAAAGCTGTATCACATTAGTACTATTTAGAAGACTTTTTTTCCTAGATAAAAATTGGTATAAATCTGATTATGTTGCATTCTTTTCTTTTGTTACAGTATGGATTTTAGTGAAAAACCTAAAGAAATCACAATCTCCAGAGTGGAACAAAAATTCAGAATGCCTTCACAAGAGACATCCACTGTGAAGGAATCCCCCAAAATAAGCTCTAATGATAAAAATGCAGTATCAGATACTCTGGAAAGGATGAAAATCCCAACCTATCAGCTTTCACCAAGTAAATTCTCAGGTGTAAATAAAAGTAGAGATCAGCCTTCTCAGCAGCTGCAGACCAGCTCCATCAAAAACTACTTTCAGCCTTCTACCAAAAAAAGGTCTATTTTTAAATAATATCTCTCTGTCTCTGAAAAATATTAAGAGAATGGCATTTAGTCTGTGTTCTGCTTGAATATGCTTCTGTAGAAAACTGACCCTTTGACCTCATTCCCTCTCAAAAATGTCTGTATCTCCTTCTTCACTAAGGTCATTATGGATAGATTCTCCCTCATCCCTTTTTTTTGTGGGTACCTTAAGCTTATCTGTTGTTTCACTGTGCTGCACTCCTTTTGAAGAAGTCTGTCCAGTATCCTGATAGTAGATTAGTATTACTAAAATAGCGCCTTGACTATTCCAGTTTAACATGAATTTGGTAAACTTCTGGGAAGCAGAGATCTACATTTTTATGTTCTCTATGGACCTTAGTGCAATTTAAATGAATAAAGTACTTATTCAGTACTTAATGAAACAGTATTGTACAGAAAACTCTTAGTCATATATTCACATATTATTTGCAGTTTATAGTCTGTACTGTATTCTGGATTTCGCCACTCTGACTTATTATCTTGAATCTAGCTCTCACTAACCCATCAGGTTTTATTCCCAAGGTAATTTTTCCCTTCCTACAAGTTCCCTACATTGTAAAGTAAGCTATTGTTTCCTGGCAACAAGTGCTTTGTATTTTTATATCTTTCTACCTTTTCCTCTACATTGACTTATCAGCTACTGCTGCCTTAGCAGAAAAGATAAACCTCTCCCTGTTGTTTTAGCCATTGGGTTGACAGTCCTACGAAAACAGTGTCCATATGAATTATGCTCTTTGTCAGATGTCCCATTTTTTATTTCCAGTGATATTAATTAATAAAATTAAGAATGTTGTGAATTAAATGGAGTGAATATTGCCAAACCAAAAAATTACTTAGCTGTGTTCATTTTCTGTTTTTGCTTTCTTTTCTCCTTTTTTAAATCTAAGGGAAAGAGATGACGAAAATCAAGAAATTTCTTCACCCAAATCAGCAAGAGTAGAAATGTCTTGTTCTCTTTTAGAACAAACACAGCCTTCTACACCCTCAGTATGGAAAAATAAGGAGGAGCATCTATCTCAGAATAAGCCTGTGGAAAAGAAACCAGATAATTTACTTACAGATAGAGATTTAAAATCCACCGTGAAAAATTTTGCCAGTAAATCTCTTTCTACAGAAAAACTAAGATCAGAAAAAAAAGAAATTGTTGACTTAGCCGTAGAAGATGAAGTATTAGATCAGTTATTCAAGAACACAAAACCAGAGTTAGAAATTGGAGTGAAAGTTCAAAAACAAGAGGAAGATGTCAATGTTAGAAAAAGGCCAAGATTGGATATAGAAACAAATGGCACTTTTAATGATGAAGCAATATCAGAAAGTAACAGAATATCTGTAAGTAACATTTTTTAATGAGAAGTACTACAAATAGAAACTTAGAATGTTAAAAAGAAATTTGTGATAGTATAAGCATTCACTCTTATTTCCTTGAGGAAAAAGTATCTTCAAAACCCAGTATTAAGAATTTGTTGGTTGATAAGGTAAATATTAAAAATGCAGTGTTTCTCTGATAGTATATAATAAATGACAGCAAATAAAACTGTTATTCATGATTATTTTAATAGATTTCCAGGCTGTACTATTACTATACTACTATATCAGACCTTTGGCCTTGATGATCAGTATAGGAGATGACTTCATAGAGGAAACAGACACAGAAAAATGAAGAAAGTTAGTAAAACAAACTACTAAATAAATTTTTAGATAAAATAGTTATAACATCACTAGGAATTTTTATTTTCATTTTGATCTTTAATATCCTATTTTCCTGAATGTTGATAATTTGTCTTACCACTTCAGATTATTTCCAATTTTATGTGTAAGTAAGTTGCATACTATCTGTAGAATAGTTAGAGGTTATTAGGTGAGAGCACTGACCACATGAAGTTAAAAGGTAATATTCTGATCTTTCATATAGGTCTGTTAGCTCCAGTCTCATTCATGGTTGTGGTCATCACTTCCTATAAATGGCTACTGCATAAGGATAGGACTAAGTAAAAGGATAATGATTAAGTGATTGGAAGGTACAATGATTCAGTAGGTGTTTGTTGAGAACCTAGTGTGTATCAAGCACGATAAATCTGTAACTGCTGTTGAAAAAACAAAGTTTAGTCAAAATATTGGCATCTTCATATGAAGGAGAGAATCCTCATTACTAAATGCCCTTCTGTGGACCAGCTATGTCAGAATCAGCTGGTGAGCTTTTTTAAAAGTAGGGGTACCCAGACCAAAACCCCAGAAGATCCTGATGTAATACATCCAGTTTTTTTTCCCAGAAAAAGTTTCCTCATTTTATGAGTTAAGAATTCCTTTTGCTGTCTTTAAAAATTCTAAAATCAGGTGCCTGGGTGGCTCAGTCGTTAAGTGTCTGCCTTCAGCTCAGGTCGTGGTCCCAGGGTCCTGGGATCGAGCCCCGCATCGGGCTCCCTGCTCAGCAGGAAGCCTGCTTCTCCCTCTCAGACTCCCCCTGCTTGTGACCCCTCTCTCACTGTCTCTCTCTCTGTCAAATAAATAAATAAAATCTTAAAAAAAAAAAAATCTTACCCAGCAACAGGAAGGAATCTTCAGGCTGATTTAATAACGATTAACCTGCGATTAAAAAGTGGCTTTCAGTTAATGAGGTAGTATATCCAGAATTAATAATTTTTTCGAGGTGTCAAAATAATAAAATTACTGAAAATCCAAGAAAGCTTAAATATATTAGATGAGAACTTGTAGAACAGATTGTTGTAATAATGTTAGTTATGGTTTTAATGAAAAGAGGTAGACAATACTGAGATTTCTTGCTAAGAAAATATATACAAGAAGATAAATTATTAATTGAGATATTTGTTAGAATAAACTAAATTAAAATGCTATATGCTTTTAGTCTTCTAGCATAGATGTTATAAATGTTTCTAAAGTTGTGGAGTAGTTGAGTAATTTTCTCGTTTGAAGTAGATATGATTTGATTCCAAATACAAAGTTTGGGTGCCAGAAATAAACCTTTTTTACAATTTTTTTCAGGTATTTGAACTTATTTCTATAGCTCCCCAAATGACAAGTAATTTTCTTTTTCCTTATTTTTTTCTGCTTATGTAACCATCTTAACCCCATTTAAGATCAAAGATGAACTTCAGGAGGATGATGATATGCTTCCAAGGAAGGTGTTACTAACTGAATTTAGATCACTGGTGGTTAGTAACTCTGCCTCCAGAAATGCATCCAGTGTAAATAGTGATTATGGTCCACTAAAGAATTTCAAGAAATTCAAAAAGGTATGGTATTCCTTTAACTAAACTATCACAAGAGGGCAGTGTTTGAAATGCTTTTAGAAATACCACTGATGCTAAATAGTAAAAGCCGTTCATATTGAAAACTGATGTTATTTTTTCTGCTTAAAACAGTTAAAATTACTCTAGGAAGGACATGAAGTGACAGGTAATGAATATATGAATAAATGTATGATGAATATATATAATGAATACTTGGAAACAAACTTCTTCCAAACTGTATTCCCTAAAGGGTGCTGTTTACCTCGTCTTCTCCACCTTGAGCGGCAGGCTTTGGGTTATATTGATAGGGTCTTTTACTTCTAATCATCTGTGTCTACCTGAAGGGGTTCTTTAGCTCAGGACTTTATGAAGATAACAGATTTGTTGAAAATAGCTGAGCACATTAAATAATGAAAAGTAGGCACTTTACTGTTCCATGTATATATAAAAAATATAAATATGTATCCTGAATATTATCATCAGACCTAGGTTTCTTCTCCTCTAGGAACTAGTAAGATGTTTATCAGTATGGTTAAAAATATTTCTGATCTAGTCTGTATTCTTTTGTTGTCTTTTCTGGAATATTTGCTTTTTATTCCATATCTATTACCAACTGCTACCTTTTGCTTAAACATTTCATCAGAATACAGGTGATTTCTGTGGAAGACTGCTTTTCACTAGAATATGATGTGTATGATTCTTGCTGTACTATGAGGTGTTGTAGCTTTTTTTCTCTAATGTGAGCTACTATTAACATTTGTCAGTTAATTTTTTTGCCTACTATGACAATGTGTAAAAGTTCTAAACTCCATATCTTGTACTTAGATGGAAATATCTCCCACTTAGATGGCACCCGCTTTCTCGTTTCCATCCCACAGGTGTGGCTCATGAATACCACAGGGTCATTCTTTTTTTTTTTTAAAGATTTTATTTATTAGAGCACGAACACAAGCCAGGGGGGAGGCAGAGGGAGAGGGAGAAGCAGACTCCCCACTGAGCAGGGAGCCGGATGTGGGGCTTCGTCCCAGGACCCTGGGATCATGACCTGAGCCAAAGGCAGCCGCTCAACCGACTGAGCCACCCAGGCGCCCCACCACAGGGTCATTCTTAACTGTATAGTTACTTCATGTTCAGTATCATGTTACCAAGTCTCATTGTTAAAATTCAAAAGACATAGTATTTTTTTGTTATTAATGAAGTTACCAAAGATTAAAGTAGTAATACTCACTGTTGACCCAGGTATGGTGAAGTATAGAGGAGTACAAACTTCTGGAAAGTAGTTTGGAAGAATTTTAAACTCTTAAAAATAATATCTTTGACTAAGGAATTTTTTTGAGACTGTAGAAGAAATTCAAACCAAAATTTGTATAGCAGGATGATTTAACTAGATTGGCTCTAATGAAAGAATTTGTCTCTGTTTTTCTTTATATGCCCAAATCCAATGACATGGCTCTATTTGTGCTTTTTAAAATAGTGTTTAATGATGAAAACTATTTTAGAATTCCCTTTCCGGGGCACCTGGGTGGCTCAGTTGGTTAAGTGTCTACCTTCAGTTCAGGTCATGATTCCGAGGGTCCTGGGATCTAGCCTTGCACTGGGCTCCCTCTGTCCCTCCCCCTGCTCATGCGTGCATGCGCGCTCTACCTCTCTCTCTCTAATCTTAAAATAAAATTCCCTTTCCACTTTGTATATTGAAATTTTGAAAGTATGTCCCATAGATACTAAGAATTTATTATTTCCTAAATTCAGTATTAGCAGTGTGCTTCATTTGCATTTTCACAGTATTTTTAGCACCTCTTTATTTAAAATAAGCCATTAAAATTTTAATTAAAAATATAAATTGTTGCCATCACCAACATCTTTTGCTAGAGATCTATAAATTAGAAAGTTTTGAAGATGTAAATTTTCATGAGTACTAGACAAGGCTTAAACTTTGAAATCTTTAGAACAAAATATGGTACTTTATAGTCTCTATATTCACCTTAAGTTGCGTTAACTGCTAAATGATGAGCTAAGGCCGTTTTTTAATAAAAACTCCCAATTAAGAATCTTAATTAAATTTTGGTACATAAATCCCAGTGACATCTAAATCTGGGTATAGCAATAACCAAAAAAAAAAAAAAAATAGGGCAAAAACATGGGTCTAGCATAGTTACTTCTCTCTCACTCACTTTCATTTGTAGGATATAAACATATTTGGCATTTATGTTATACATGATTCATACTGTGCTATTTTATTAAGCTTTTTAAAAAATAATGGTTTTGAGGGTACCTGGGTGGCTTAGTTGGTTAGGCGTCTGACTCTTGATTTCAGCTCAGGCCATGATCTCAGGGTTAGGAGATTGAGCCCTGCGTCGGATTCTGCCTTGGTGGCAAGTCTGCTTGAGATTCTCTCTCTCCCTCTTCCCCCTGCGACCCTCTCCCTTGTTCACACACTCTTGATCTCAAAAAAAAAAAGAAAAGAAAAAAATGAGATGGTCTTAATTTGTTAATGCATTTAACCTTATTATTTTTACTATAAAACAGGTCACATTTCTTGGAGCAGGAAAACTTCCACACATCATTGGAGGATCAGATCTAATAGCTCATCGTGCTCAGAAGAATACAGAATTAGAAGAATGGTTAAGGCAGGAAATGGAGGTTAGTAGGAAGTGAGGCCTGGTAATTTGCTTGGTTTAAATTTTGGTCCCTCATGGTTTCCTTAGAGCAAATCCTTAAAACCAAACGTTAAGATAATTGACCTAAGGTCATTCAATCAGGAAGATTCCTAAGTTATAGAGCATTAAGATTAATTTGTACCTTTCCATAAAGCTTCTTTAAGAGACTTTTAGACTTATTAGTTAAAAAAACAAATGAATTAAGTCTATATCCTAATGTAAGGGGGAGAAAGGAGACTTAACCTACAAAAATGTAAAAGAAAGCTAAAGGATAACAATTAAAAGAAGGTTGTACAGTCATGTGGGTGTTATTGCAAATAATATTAATTACATAATATATGAATGTACTGGGCTTTCCAGATCTGGAAATTATCTTTCAGTGGTTCTGAGAATTTCTCAGTCATTATTTTATTGAGTTATTACCCCTTTTTCCTGTTCTCTCATATCTTTTTTTCCCCCTATGTTTAATGTTTTAAAGAACTGCCATACTGTTTTCCAAAGTAACTGCACCATTTCACATTCCCACTGATAGTGCACAAGAGTTCCAGTTTCTCCATATCCTCTCCAACACTTGTTATTCTCTTGTTTTTGATAATGGGCATCTAATTGGAACCTTACTGTGGTTTTGATTTGCACTTTCCTAATGATTACTGAGGTCGTGCATCTTATGCCTGTTGGCCATTTGTATATTTTTTTTGGAGAAATATCTATTCAAAAATCTCTTCCCATTATTAATCAGATTGTTTATTTTTTGTTGTTGAATTAGAGGTGTTCTTTATGTAGTCTGGATAATAGTCCCTTATCAGATGTATGATTTGCAGATTTTTTTCTCCCTTTCTCTGGGTTGCCTTTCACTCTGTTGTTTGTGTATTTTGATGCACAGAAATTTTAAATTTTGATGTAGTTCAGTTTATCAGTTTTGTTGATACCTATGCTTTTGGCATCATATCCAAAAATTCACTGCCTGATCCAATGTCTGAAAGTTTTTCCCTTTTTTCTTTTAAGAGTTTTTATAGTTTTAGCTCTTATATTTAGATCTTAAATTGATTTTAAGTTAATTTTCATAGGTGTTATAAGGTTAGAGTTTGACTTCATTCTCTGTGGTATGCTTTTATACTTTGGTTTAATGATGCATGAGCACACCATCTCAATAGTGAGTGAGGGAGTCTTAAGTCAGTTATACTATTGACAACTGCTTGCTGTGGGAAACTCGCCTTAATGCTTCCTCCTATGGGCAGTTGTTGCTGATCTCATTTTTCCCCGGAGTCTTTCTATGTAGTTCAAATTCTTAAACTTTCTATTACAAGAACTTTTCAAACATATACAAAATAAAGGGAGTGTGAAACAAACCCAAAACACAGCTTCAACAAATACCAGTATTTGCACATCTTGCTTCATCTGTTCTTTCCAACTTTTTTTTTTTCCTGGAGTATTTTAAAGCAAATCCCAGTCATTTTATCATTTCATTTATATTTATATGTTCAAACATGTACAGATTTCTGATCAAATATGTATTATGTCAGAGTGTGCTTTTCTATGTACTTTCACAGTAGGATACTTACATGATCAGTTCATATTGTTTTAAATCCTAGATTAGGACCAGCAGCATAATTTTGACACTTGAAATTGCTTTAGAGTTTTATAATTTTGCATACTTCATGGCATGTCTTTGATCATATCTATAATATGTTGCCTAAGTCTCAGGAAACCAAACCACTTATAACACTGTTCTTCTGGGAAGATGTGAACTGCTTACAACTGTCCGTGTTAGACTGTGATTTTCAAGAATTCATTGTTTACACATATCAACTGTGTATATTTATATACTCTGTAATGAGAACTCACAGGGAAGATTATGAAAATATGCTTCTCTTTTTTTACTTTCTTCCTGGGTATTTTGAGTCCTAGTGGATATTATGTAAAACAGCCATATAGCTGATTCCTAATTCTTTCTACCCCTTACTTATTACTGGAGAATTTAATAAAATTCAATAAAATGGCAACTTTTTGCTCTAGAGGAAGTTACTGCGTGGAAGTTAAGATTTCAGAAACACATGACTGTTGAATTGAGAGATAACCAGAGGTCTCTTCCGAGGTTAGACAGTTTTCTTCTTAGCCTTTATATTGCCTGCTTATCTAGTGCTCCTGGAACCCAAAGGTGGGCTCCAGATAGGTCCTCTTAGCAGGCTATTTGAAGTAGGGCCATTTGGTAATTACGGGTAGGGGTATTATCTCTTTCTTAAACTCCAATTTGACAGAAGTCAAATTTCACTTTCTTCTCTATCTTATTTTCTATATATTTTATCTCCTTTTTTCTCTGGATAGTATTTTTTGGCAACTTCTCCAGATTATCTTCCAGTTTGGTACTTTTCCTTTCCACTCTCTCTGGTTGGTATTCCCACCTATCCATTGAGTTTTCATTCAGCCTATTGTGTTTTTTCAATTCTGGTTGTCTGTTTCATTCATCTCTAGGTCTTATTGTTCCCTGCTGATATTTTTAAGCTCGTCTTATATTCTTTGCCTGAAGTGTTTGTTGATATGTTTCTGCTACTCTTCTCTTAAGGAGCCTTGTTTCCAAGTATATATTTTGTGATAGTTGAATGTGAACTGCTCATTTTCCTTGGAATTTGATGTGTGGGAATTCCTTGAGTCCTAAGATCAAGTTTATTTCCTCTAGAAAAGATTTGTTTGTGTCTGCCAGTCTGGTTCTACCAATATGAGACCCACTTTAGCCTCCACTTGTGATTTTTTTGGATCACCTAGGTAGTTAATACATATTTGGACTAGAAGCCTGAGTGAAGGCCAGCTTGTCATTATAAACTCAGTTTGGTTTTTTTTTTCCTTCACCATGTGTTAGGGTTGAGGCAGGCAAGTTTCTTTCTTGCCTTCTTTTTGTGTTGTACGGTTTATTCCACTTTCTCTCTTTAATGCTGGAGTCTTTTCTTAGATTCCCCATCTTTGATTTTCTTTCATGTCACTTATCCCCCATACAGACATCAAAGCAGAGCCCAGTTTTTTTATGCTTTGCAGAAACCCACAGGGCAAGGCAAAAGCTGGCCATGGTACTTGTTAACTTCTCAGGGTTTTTATTTTGCTTCATTGTGGGTTAATGAAGTCTTCAGCAGTTTGTGTTTAAAAATGCTTTTTAATCAAAAAATTGTTAGGAAGGTTGCCAAAAAGTAGGGTTGTTAAGGTCACTCAGGATATTTAGTGTCAAAAAATGAAAGAATGGAAGTCACATCCTTTCCTCCTTTCTTTTTTAAAGAATAAATGGCCTTATTTAAAATGTGCATTTCAAAGAATTGTACCACACAAGAGAATGACGAAGTTAAAATCATGAAGTCCAGGAATTACCCATTTAAACATGAAGTGAATTATTCCAGATATCTCTTTATTGAAGAGGAGTAATTGCCAGAGACAGAGTGGGAAGAGAGGGAGAGAGATTGATAGAAGGAAGTAAAGCTGAAAGCATTGCTGAATTTTTGCAAATGTTTCTTCTTTTAAGGTGTTTTATTTCCTGAGTTCCATCTAAGACCAAGGGTGATAAATATGACCAAAAAAACCCCAAAACAAAATTACTGTCAGGTTAGAATCAGTATTTGTTTCATACTGCCTATTTTAATTTTAGATATATTTTTTGGGTCCCTGCTGTAAACAGTGAGGAAATTATTTGTGCTTCCTCTGTTCCCCCACACCCCCCTCCCCACACCCCACCATCTTATGACAGTCGTTTCTCTCTTTTTAAAAGGTGACTTGCATGCCTGCCCCATTCCTTCTTAGGCTTGCACGTCAGTAACAATGAGAATATGTTTCAGTGTTGATCAATTTTCCATTCATTTTTCTTGGAATACAGTATGTTATTTTTATTTGCAGATGCAGGTCTTTTTATTTCAAGGAATTCTTCTAATACATCTTGGAAAGCATTTTTATATTTGTTGGGTTCTTTACATTTAAGACGTAACTATCCTTTTATTGGATCGCCTTTGCCTTCCACATCCATTTCTTCTGCATTCACTGTGGTTTTCCTGAGCTCTTTCACTATGTCAGAAATCAAATTACATTTGTGTCTGTTCTAGTCCTCATCAGCTATGTGATCTTGGGCAAATTACTTTCTTATGCTTGCATTTCTTCCTGTGTAGAATGGGAACAATAATTATACCTCTGTTTCACAGAATTTTTGTGAGGATTAAATAAGATGCTACTTGTAAAGCATTTATAACAGTGGAAACAGTCACTATTAGGTATTTCCAATTTATTTGATTCTGAAATGGTGTTATTAATAAGTCTTAGTTTGTTTACTTAGCATTTGTTCCCTTTTCATTGTCATTGTGGTTTTTGTCATCTAACTTTTTGGTTTTTGTTTTATTGCTTTCATGTTCTTAGTAACTTCATTTTTTTAATCCTTGGGTTATTATTTCTTATGGACTAGGTTCTTCATCTGTCTTGAATGTTCTGTTCCAGTTGCTGCCCTTTTTTTCCCCTTTAGTAGGTGGAGTAGCTTGCAGTTTTCTTTCATCTTGCAGCTGTTTAGAATAAAATACCCTGTCCAGGTACTCTGTTTGCTTTGTGAAGCATCGTATGCTATCTTGTGCAGGGATTACAATCTAAAGACAGCTTGTGCAACTGATAAATTATTGAACTCTACATCTGAAACTAATGTATTATACGTTGGCTAATTGAATTTAAATAAAAAAACCAGATGAATGGATAAAGAAGATATGTATATATACACAATGGAATATTACTCAGCCATTAAAGAATGAAATCTTGCCATTTGCAATGACGTGGATGGAGCTAGTGTGTATTATGCTAAGCAAAATAAGAGAAAGACACATACCATATGATTTCACTCATATATGGAATTTAAGAAACAAAATAGATGAACATAGGGGAAAGGAAGGAAAAATAAGATAAATCAGAGAGGGAGGGAAACCAGAAGAGACTCTTAATTATAGGACACAAACTGAGGGTTGCTGGAGGGGAGGTGGGTGGGTGGAGGATGGGGTAATTGGGTGATGGGCATTAAGGAGGGCACTTGAAGTCATGAGCACTGGGTGTTATATGCAACTGATGAATCACTATACTCTACCTCTGAAACTAATAATACACTATATGTTAACTAAATTGAATTTAAATAAAAAATTAAAGACAGTTTGAGGCAAAAGTGAATGTAGTCAAAATTACTCCTACCCAAGCTCTTAGTGTTCTGGTAGAGAACAGAATTATCCTGGTGGCTCCATTCCATTAGTATGGCAACGTGCTCAGTCAGAGGCGAATTGCATGTCCCATCTAATTTCTGTTGTCTGAAGACTTTGAATCCAGGAAAGTAAGGGCTCAGCTGGAGCTATGTGCTGCTCCTTCCTGGAACTGGAATTAAATGTGTACCAGGGGGGTGTACCTTATCCCAGAAGACAACAACCTGCCATTTTAGGTTGTTTACCTAATTTGTCAGGGCTGCATGGGGCTCTGCCTTTGGTCAGTGTCAGTACCACTCACTTCCGTGTGCCATTTGTCCCTTTCCAGTAGTCTACCAGCAGTGTTTTTCTGCTCAGGCTACTTTTTCCCAAATTTGGAGTATTACTAAGCATTCTCAGGTTTGGTTTTAGTTCGTTTAATGGGTTAAGGCAGTGTTAAGAACATGTTGCAGCAGTCTTTTGGTTCTCTGCAGGCTACTTGTCTCAAGTCTGTGGCTTCTTGATTATCATAGGTTTTGTTGGTTTTTGGCTAGAGAGGAGTTGAGAGATTGACGGTGTAGCTGCTGACTTTTTTCTGTCTTTTATTTGATTAGAATTAGCGCATGTTCTAGATTTATTCCACCAAATCTCTCTTTTTGCTAGAGCAACTTTAGGTGCACTGGGTTGGATTTACTCTTTAAAATAGAGTTGACTTTCTTGTGCACTTACAGTGCCTGTGTATAAGTATGCTACTGCCTTGATGTCCTATTTCCCTAGGCTTGTCCCAGCTACTCTTCTTAAGTAATTTTTGCCTTTCATTCTTTTTCAGTTTTTCTTTCTCTACTTCTGCTGCAGACCAGTCTTTGTTTTCATAATCACCAAATCCATTCCTGAAGTTTCCTCAGATTTAGGATATTTTCATTTTGTGCATTAAACATAATAACTCTTTGAGACACTATCCAACCTGATTTGAATTTTGAAAGACTAGATATGTAACTCTCCCCAACCCTTAAAAAATGCCAGTAATGTGAGGATTTCTATTTCTTAAAACTATTTTACTTCATGTTTTTGCTAAGACACATAAAAACTGATTTTTCCTTACTGATTTTTCTTTACTATATTATAACTTTAAAATTAACATCCCCTGCTGGGAAGCATTTCAAAATAATTACAATAATAATACCAACTGCTTTTTTGACAGCTGCTTTATGAAAATCATTTTCTTAACATTTATGTTCTGCTATACCTATTAGAAAATGTGGAAAGATGTAATGTCATTTTGATATTTCACCTTAATGAGTAGAAAATCATTCTGTAAGAATCCCTGCAAGTCATTCTTCTCGGCCCTTTCCAAAGACTCAGAATCAGTGTAGTAGCCTGGTTAAGACCTGGTCAAACCCCAGTTCTTCCATATGACAACCTTTTGATCTTCTGCAAGTTACTTAACCTAAGTTTTTGCTTCCTTGTTGGTTAAAACTGGGATAGTAGGGGGCGCCTGGGTGGCTCAGTTGTTGAGCATCTGCCTTCCGCTCAGGTCATGATCCCAGGGTCCTGGGATCAAGCCCCGCGTCGGGCTCCCTGCTCCGTGGAGAGTCTGCTTCTCCCTCCCTCTGCTGTTCCTCCTGCTTGTGCTCACTCACTGTCTCTTTCTCAAAATAAATAAATAATAAAATCTTTAAAAAAAAAAACTGGGATAATAGTCTAATAGTAATAATGAAGTTATATGAAGATTAAATGAGATATTTTTAGAAGGAGTTTTAAGATAATATCTGGAAAAACAAATGTAAGTTATTAATAGTAAAAATAAATAGTATGGCCCATTTCAATAGTCGCGGGATACTTGAACTGCACGAACAGCCGCCGCTCCGGCGGGCTGCTCGCTGCATCTCGGGGGCTTCTTTATAGACTTCCACGCCCGGCAGTGCCTACCTACGCCTTTTGCAACCTCTTCGGAACTGCGCGATCCCGAGCGAGCAGGCTGGCCCGGGCTGTGGCGGCTGGTTATGGCTGGAGCGTTTCTCGGCGGTGTCGGCGGGACGGAGTACACGCTGCTTGGTGCCGCAGGCTGATCCCGCCGCGACCCCGGGAGCAGTGATGTTGGGCAGCTCCGAGCCTGGGCCTGCGGCCCGCGAGGCGGGCTCATCGCTGCTAACATTGCAGCATACGGCACTCCAAGAGGACCAGGAGAACATCAACCCTGAGAAGGCGGCGCCCGCCCAGCAGCCCCGGACCCGGGCGGGGCTGGCGGTACTGAAGACCGGGAACCCGCGCGTTCCAGCGCCGCAGCAGAGGCCCAAGACATGACGGATTTCTTAAGGATCTTCCTATAAATGATGAACATGTCGCTATTCCTCCCTGGAAAACAAACAGTAAACAGCTTGCATTTACCATTCATGTGGATGAAGCGGAAGAAGATACTCAAAAGAGGCCGCCTGAATCTAAAAAAACAGAACATGAAAATGTCCTGGCTTTTAATTCAGCTATTACTTTACCTGGACCAAGAAAACCACTGGTACCTCTTGATTATCCAATGGATGGTAGTTTTGAATCACCACATACTATGGACATATCAATTGTATTAGAAGATGAAAAGCCACTGAGTGTCAATGAAGTCCCAGACTACCATGAGGACATTCACACACACCTTAGGGAAATAGAGGTTAAATGTAAGCCTAAAGTGGGTTACATGAAGAAACAGCCAGACATCACTAACAGTATGAGGGCTATCCTTGTGGACTGGTTAGTTGAAGTAGGAGAAGAATATAAACTACAGAATGAGACCCTGCACTTGGCTGTAAACTACATTGATAGGTTCCTTTCATCGATGTCTGTGTTGAGAGGAAAACTTCAGCTTGTGGGCTCTGCTGCTATGCTGTTGGCCTCAAAGTTTGAAGAAATACATCCCCCAGAAGTAGCAGAGTTTGTGTACATTACAGATGATACCTATACCAAGAAACAGGTCCTGAGAATGGAGCACCTAGTCTTGAAAGTGCTTGCTTTTGACCTAGCTGCACCAACAATAAATCAGTTTCTTACCCAATACTTTCTGCACCAGCCGTCTGCCAACTGCAAAGTTGAAAGTTTAGCAGTGTTTTTGGGAGAACTAAGTCTGATAGATGCTGACCCCTACCTAAAGTATCTGCCATCTGTTATTGCTGCAGCAGCTTTTCATTTAGCACTCTACACAGTCACAGGACAAAGCTGGCCTGAATCTTTAGTTCAAAAGACTGGATATACCTTGGAAAATCTTAAGCCTTGTCTCATGGACCTTTACCAGACCTACCTCAAAGCACCACAGCATGCACAACAGTCAATAAGAGAAAAGTATAAAAGTTCAAAGTATCATGGTGTTTCTCTCCTCAACGCACCAGACACACTAAATGTGTAACAGTGAAAGACTGCCTTTGTTTTCTAAGATGTAAATCACTCAAAGTATATGGTGTACAGTTTTTGTAAGGTTTTAATTTTACAATCATTTCTGAATAGAGTTATGGTCAAGCACAAATTATGGTATCTATTACTTTTTAAATGGTTTTAATTTGTATATCTTTTGTACATGCAACTATCTTAGATATTTGGCTAATTTTAAGTGGTTTTGTTAAAGTATTAATGATGCCAGCTATCAGCACAGTAAGAATAAGAACTAATAAATAGATTTGGAAAAAAAAAATAGTGTGTACATTCAAGGAACTTACGGTCTTTTAGCGAAGATAAGATACAGAATTATAACAGGGAAATCATTTGATAGGCATCTATGAGTTGTGTAGTTGAAGTTTTATGGGAGTTCTTCATAGCAGACGTTATTTTTATATTTTTAAATGAAGAGAATTGAAAAACCATTGGTAAAGAGGTGAAGAACATGTTCCTGGACGTGTTAGTAGGCACTAACTTATTACTGAATTGAATGCACACTGAAAGAGAGAGATGGGAAGAGGAGAAACAGGAGGTCATTTTCCGGGCAGAGGGGAAAACGTGAACACAAACAGAGGGACAGGGTATTTGTTAACAGGTGAGTCTGGTTGGTTGGCTTGTGATTCAGTTTTAACTGGCATACAGTGATCATGAAGAGGGGCGTGAGAAATGATTAAGAATGTGGAATGGAGCCAGGTTATGAAGAGCATTTCCCATGTTGAGGGTCAAACTCAAAGAGTTTGTGTTTTCTTTGGTAGGTAAAAAAAAAAAAAAAGTCATTGAAGGGTTTTGAATAGCATATGATGGGATCTAGACTTTAGAAAGAGGGACCCAGTCTGGAGTTTTTCTGGTCCTCACTCTCAAAGGTGCATTAGGAGTTTGACGAGGTTGTGTTTAAAATTATTTTGTCAGTGATGTAGTTAAGCAGCAGCTTCAGAGCCCTGACTTGGGACAAGGGGAAGAGAACCACTTCACCCATAAAGTTGCTCTAGTTGAAAGTGGGATAGATTTTGCCCTCTCAGCCCCTTCATCAGTCCTGTGACCTCAAAACGGTGGTATTTCATTTAGTAAAAGAGTTCTTCTGGAAAAAATATTTAAAAACTCAACAAGCTAGCAGTATATACATATGTTGGTTGCTTTTGATGGAGAGGGGATTAGCTGGAGAAAGTTGTTTAATTAGAGGACTTTTGCAGTAATCTTGGCATGAAGTGAAAATGGAGAGGATTTGGTGAATGAGGGAAATACCGTAGAGGCAAGAGCTCATAGACCTGGTGATTTCCTCAATGTGGAAATATCCGAGATGACTGACCACCCAGTACAGCACTTGATTAACCATATATTCATCATTGAACACATGTTTGAAATTATGTTAATTTTGGCAGGTGCAAAATCAACATGCGAAAGAAGAGTCTCTTGCTGATGATCTCTTCAGGTAAAGTTTAATTTCATCTTTCTCATGAATCTTTGAGATGTATATAAAATTCAGTTTTATTCATAGAGATTAAATATTCGTTTATTCTGTCTTTAGAAATAGACACAGGGCACCTGGGTGGCTCAGTTGGTTAAGCAGCTGACTCTTGATTTCAGCACAGGTCATGATCTTAGGGTTGTGGGATCAAGCCCTCCATCGGGCTCTGTGCTCAGTGTGGAGTCTGCTTGTCCTTCTCCCTCTGCTCCTCCCCTGACACACATGCATGCTCTCTCTTAAATAAATAAAAAAATAAAATCTTCAAAAAAAAAATAGACATTTAGTACCTTCACCTAAAGAATGTTTCATTTTTGATGTGTTTGTTTTTTTTTTTAACTACTTGAGCACCTCTCAGTTGGGTTTGCTGGATATATCTTCAAGGTTTGGGGGCGATTCAGTTGAACTGTATCACAAGATACTTAAAATTGCTGTGAAGGCATTCACACAAAAGAAGGATCCTAAACTGGTGAATTTAGCTGATGACATTTGTGAGATTTTCAGCTCTGAGTTGCATTATGAATGAATGGGTTTTGAGTTAAGACAAAATACCAGAGCATTTGTTCAGTTTTAGTTGGCATAAGCATAAAAACAAGAGGCTGGATTAGAGTTTCAAATCAGGTTTTTGTGGGAGGTTTAGAGGAGTTATAACGGGTGGTTACAATTTAATTCTGATTTAACACATTTTCAGCATTCCTGCAGGCCCAAAACCTTATAATAATTAGCTCTCAAATACAAATAGTATAAAATAAAATTATCTACTTATAGGTAGGTACTGACTAGGGGAGGATAACATTTTCACAAATTTATGTAAAGGCAGAACCAAGAAGTACTGTATTTTTGAATTTGTTTTGCAGCCAGTTTTGATTTCTTTAATTTCATTATTGACAGTATATGTCTTGGTGAAAATGTTGACAAATGGTGCCGATTTTTCATAAGTAGTTAAGACTATCTGGTTGCCAGTTAAATTTGTTTAATTACTATAGGAGAAAATTTATGTTTATTTTAGGCTCATTATACTCTTTTATGCAGATGTTATACTTCAGTTGGGAGTGGAAGGAGTTTGAAGCCATACTAGGATAGGTGTAAACATGTATTTATTTTTAAACCGTTTTCATTAATTATTTTAATGCTTTTACGGGGCTTTTTCTATTGTTGATGTTTTATTTTTACCAAATAGTCATCAAACCAACATCAAAAGGATAAATTAAAGTAAAAATGTCAGTGCTTAATACTGGATCCTAAGGATAAATTGACATTCTCATTGTGTTTGCCAAAGTGTGACTGTTTTGAAAGCCCTTTAATTTTATTTCTTTCTTTGCAGATACAATCCTAATGTAAAAAGGAGACGATAACTGAGGATTTTATAAAGGAGCCGCAGAAAAACATTTCCTCTCAAGCATTTACATCAAGTTTCCTCTGGCATACATTCATTAAGTATATAGAAGGGATTTAAATTACAAAGGTTTTATGGCCTAAATTTGTTGAATAAAATGCACAAACTCCATTTTTTTTGTATGTGACAGTATTATTCAGTTTTCAGTCTTTGTCATCTCATCTCTTATGGTAATTTTTTCATTTCTAAATGTGGCTTTTTACTTATTGAATATTTAATATAGTCACAGTTCAAAATTCTAAAAGTATAAAAGGATAAGAAATGATAAAATCTCCCTTTCACCCCTGGTCTAGCTTTTTGGTTCCCCTCTTCCGAAAAAATCGATGATACTCATTTCTTATGAGTCTTTCCAGAGATTTTTGCTGCCTCTTCAAATTTCTGTGTATTATTTTTCCAGTGATTTCCTACAAAAATGATAGCATAACATATACAGTATTCTGCACCTTGCTGTTTTTTTGCCAAATAGATTAGAAGATCATACACATATCAGAGCATACATTTTCCCCCTGTTATACTGTAGTCTTCCTTGAGCTGAAGTGACCCAAATGAAATGGATTTCAGGGGTGAAGATATCACCCACATATTATTCTAGTACTAGAAAAGGCAATATGGAAGACTTCATCAAGCTTGTGGATAGATTTTACTAGATTGGGAAGACTTATTTGGTGGTATTACTGAGCTGGGTGTGTATCTCTTGAGCTTCTTAGAGTCCTGGTTTTCCTATCTGCAAAACAGAAATGATAAGATTGTCTTTGTTAAAGGACTATAGTAAGAAAAAAATGTTTTTTCAAATTTTGTAATATAGACAACTTTGTACATTAGAATTATAGTAGACTTTTTTATCAACTCTAATGACTGATGCATTAAGTTCTGGGAGATAGAACAAGCTTTTTATACTGATTGAAACCTTCATGGTCTCTCACAGGTTCTGCCACCCTAACAAGCTAAGCGTTTTATGTTGTTAGAGATAACCTAGCATGAAAAATTATATTGAAAGTTAATATGTACTGTTGCTAGATCCTCATGGAAGATTATTGATGTTGAACATCTCTTCATGAACTTGTTGTATATCTTTTTTGGGAAAAAAGTCTGTTCAGCTTCTCTGCCCGTTTTTTAAATTGGATTGTTTGGTTTTTTGCTGTTGAATTGTAGGAGTTCTTTATATATTTTGGATATTAACCCCTTATCAGATATATGATATATGATATGCATATATTTTCTCCCATTCCACAGGTTGCCTTTTTGTTTGGTTGATTGCTGCCTTTGATGTGTAGAAGCTTTTTAGTTTGATGTAGTTCCACTTATTTTTTATTTCGTTGATTTTGCTTTAGATGTCAAATCCAAAGACTATCATTGGCATGTCAAGAAGCTTACCTCCTTTGTTTTCTTCTAGGAGTTTCATAGTTTCAGGTCTTACGTTTAAGTCTTTAACCCATTTTTAGTTGATTTTTTCGCATATGGGACAAGATAGTGGTCCAGTTTCATTCTTCTGCATGTGGCTGTTCAGTTTTCCTGCACCCGTTTATGAAGAGACTATCTTTTCCCTGTTGTATACTCATGGATCCTTTGTCAAAAATTAATTGACCATAAACGTGTGACTTTATTTCTGGGCTCTCTATCATGTTCGATTCTTCTATGTGTCTTTTTATGCCAATACCAATAGTTTTGATTAATATAGCTGTGTAATATACTTTGAAATCAGGAAGTATGATGCCTCCAGCTTTGTTTTTTCTCAAGACTGCTTTGGTCATTCGGAGTTTTCTTCTGGGTCCAGCTTTATTTTTTCACATGTGAATATCCAATTATTCCAGCACAATTTATTGAAGAGACTCCTCCATTGAGTGTTCTTGGCTCCCTTGACAAATACTAGTTGGTGACATATACTTGGGTTTATTTTTGGGCTCTCGATTATATATTTGTCTTGGTGTATTTGTTTTTATGCCAGTACCATATGGTTTTGCAGACTACAGCTTCATAGAATAGCTTGAAATAAGGAAAGGGGGTGCCTACTGCTTTGTTCTTTCTCGGGATTTTTTGGGCTATTTGGGGTCTTTTGTGGTTCCATACAAATTTTAGGAGTGCTTTTTCTACTTCTCTAAAAAATGCCATTGGAATCTTGATAGGGATTGCATTGAATCTGTAAATGCCTTTTAGTAGTATTGACATTTTAACAATATTAATTTTTCCAGTCCACAGACAAGGGATACTTTTCTGTTTGTATCTTCTTCAATTTCTGTCATTGGTGTTTTGTAGTTTTCAGAGTAGAGATCTTTTATCTCCTTAAATTTGTTCCTAAGTATTTTGTTTTTGGTGCCATTTCAAATGGGATCTACTTTATTTTTCAGAAAATTTAGTGTTACTGTATAGAAATGCTACAGATTTTTGTAAGTTAATTTTGTATCCTTAGTCTTACCAAATTCATTGATTAGATGAACAGTTTTTTGATTGAGTCTTTAGTATTTTTTATAAAATCATGTCTACAAATAGAGACAATTTTACTTCTTTCTTTCCAATTCTGATACCTTTTTTTTTTAAAGATTTTATTTATCTGAGAGAGAGAGTATGAGCAAGGGGAGGGGCAGAGGGAGAAGCAGACTCCCCGCTGAGTAGGGGGCCCAATGTGAGGCTCCATCCCTGGACCCTGGAATCATGACCTGAGCCACCCAGGCGCCCCCTGATACCTTTTATTCCTTTTTCTTGCCTGACTGCTCTAGCTAGGACTTCTGATATTATGTTGTATAGGCGTGGTGAGTGGACACCCTTATCTTGTTCCTGATCCTAGAGGGAAAGCTTTCAACCGGTCACCATTGAGTGGGATGTTAGCTGTGGGCTTATCGTGAACGGCCTTTATTATGTGGAGGTATGTGCCCTCTCTACCTACCTTGTTGAGAGTTTTTATCATGAATGGATGTCAAATTTTGTCAGATGGCTTTTCTGCATCTATTAAGATGACTGATTTTTCACCTTCATTTTCTTAAAGTTATGTATCACATTGAGTTATTTGCAAACGTTGAACCATCCTTGTGTCCCTGGTCATGGTATATGATCTTTTTAATGTATTGTTGAGTTTGGTTTGCTAATATTTGTTGAGGATTTTTTTGCATCTGTGTTCATCAGGGATTTTGGCCTGTAATTTTATTTTCTTGTAGTGCTATTTTTTGCTTTTGCCATCAGAATAATGCAGGCCTCATAAAATGAGTGTTTCTTCCACTTCTGTTTTTTGGGAGAGTTTGAGAAGGATTGGTTTTAATTCCTTGTTAAATGTTTTGCGGAATTCACCAGTGAAGCCACCTAGTCCTGGACTTTTCTTTGTTGGGCGGTGTTTGATTACTGATTCAGTCTCCTTAGTAATACTTGGTCTATTCAGATATTCTGTATCTTCATGATTGCACCTGTGTCGATTATATGCTCCCACTCTGCACGATTATATGTGCCCACTCTTGCAAAGTTCTACAGTTTTTTGGCATATAATTGTTTATTATAGTCTGTTACCCTTTCTATTTATGTGGTATCAGTTGTAATGTCTCCTCTTTGATTTCTAATGTTACTTTTTTGAGTCCCTTCTCTCTCTCTCTCTGTTTTTGTTACATCTAGCTAAAGTTTTGTTAATCTTTTCAGAAAAAAACAGGTTTAGTTTCACTGATCTTTTCTGTTGTCTTTTTAGTCTATTTCTGCGCTGATCTTCGTTATTTCCTCCCTTCTACTAACTTTAGGCTTGGTTTGTTCTTTTTTTAGCTCCTTGAGGTGTAAGTTTAGGTGGTTTATTTGAGATCTTTCTTATTTCTTGGCAGCTTATTGGTATGAACTTCCTTCTTCGAAGTGTTTTTGCTGCATCCCATAAATTTTGACATACTTTCTTTACTTTTCAGTTTGTCTCAGGGTACTTTTATTTCTCTTTTGATCTCTTCTTTGATCCAGTGATTGTTCAGTAGTATGCTGTTTTATCTCCACATACTGTGAGCTTTCCAATTTTCTTCTTGTAATTGAATTTTAGTTTCACACTGTAATTGGAAAAGATGCTTGATAGGATTCCAATCTTAAATATTTTGAGACTTGTTTTGTGATCTAATATATGATCTGTCCTATAGAATATTTGTGTGTGCTTGAGAAGAATAGGTATTCTGCTGCTGTTGGATGGAATGTTCTGTAAATGTCTGTTAAGTCCCTCTGGTCTAATGCATCACTTCAGCCCCATATTTCCTAATTTTCTGTCTGATCTACCCATTGCGTAAAATGGGGCATTGAAGTCTCCAACTATTATTGTATTGCTGTCCATTTCTTCCTTCAAATCTATTAATATTCTATATAGTTAGGTAATTCTATGTTGGGTGCATAAATATTTATATTATATCCTGTTGGATTGACCCTTAATATTATATCATGACCTTTGTTTATTACACTCTCTGGATGGAAGTCTGTTTTGTTTAAATATAGCTACTCCTGCTTTCTTTTTGTTTCCATGTCCATGGAATATCTTTTCCCATCCCTTCACATTCATTCTTTGTATGTCCCTACAGCTGACATGAGTCTCTCGTAATCAGCATGTAGTTGGGTCTTATTTGTTTTGTTTTGTTTTCATCTATTGAGCCACTGTATGTCTTTTCATTGGAAGATTTAGACCATTTACATTTAAAGTAATTATGGATATATGTGAACTTAATGTCATTTGGCTAATTGTTTTCTGGCTAATTAATTTCTGTAAATTGTTTTTTAATTCTTTTAGTCCTTCTTGTTCTCTTCCTTTGTGATCTGACAGTCAGGATCTGTCTGTAGTGGTTTATTTAGATTCTTTTTATCTTTTGCATATCTAAGTAGATGCTTTGTATTTACCATGAGGCTTAAATATTGGTCCCATGAGTCTCATAAGTTGTCTGCACTCTTTGTCATTCTTTTTTTCTTTTTTCTTCTCTGATTATGCTGATTCCGTGCTCTTATCTTCAAGTTCACTCTTTCTTCCTGTTTCCCCTATCAAGTCTGTTTTGAATCCTCTATTGAATTTTTCAGTTCAGTTTTGTATTCTTCAGCCTTGTGATATGTTTGGTTCTTGTTTTCTCTTTGTTGAAATAATCACTTTGTGCATATGTTATTCTGACCTTGGTGAGCATCTCTATGACCATAATTCTTAACTCTTTATCAGATAAATCACTAATCTTCAAGGTCTACTTCTAGATTTTTATCTTGTTATTCAATGTGAAACATGTTTCTGTATGTCTTCATTTTCCTTGACTCCCTGTGTTGATTTCTGTGTATGAGATAACATAGATAACATAGTTGAAGGTGTGCCAAGTTCTCTGAGTGTTTTAAAGGGGAGGATCTTAGCATCTAGATACAGACTGACGGGAAGCTGGACCCTCAGGCAGCTTTTAAAGTATTGAGCCATCTTTCATGGAACTGTGAGCTGGGTGTTTGTCTGCTTCTCCACTGAACCCTGGGGGAGTAGCTAGTTAAGAATTGTTTCTGTGAGCTACAGTCCTGTGTGACCTATGAACACAAGCTCCTTCCAGTGATGGTGGTGGTTTGGACTGGGCTGCATACAGGGAGAATACAGCCATGGTGTCTGCTGGCTTCCCTGGTCTCTGAATAGGATGGCAGTCTCTCCCTAGGTGTGAGGTAGATTAGATCCTGACCTTTACGCTACAGCTACAGCTTTTAAGGTACACAGATAGTGTTCCCTCTCTCACTGTGTCTCTGTCAAATAAATAAATGAAATCTTTACCAAAAAAAAAAAAAAAAGATATGCAGATAGGCCTCTGTCATGGAAAGACCGAGATAAGGGCATTTTTGCCTGCTGATTCTTTCTTGAGCCCTGGGCATATAGCTGGTTTAAACCTGCTTCTTTGTTAGCCATAGTCTTGTTCAACCCACAAACAAAAGCCCCGCTGGCCACCACTGCCAGGCTATCAAGGACTGTGTCGTCCGGGTGGCAGCTACAAGAGCTCCTGCACCTGGTATGTGTGCCAGCCCCTTGGAGGAAGACACGAGTGACTTAGAGCAAAAGAGAGTGCAGAGGTGATAGCTGCTGGGCTCAGAGAAAGTAGCAGTCTGTTCCTAAATCAGCAACCAGACTTCCAGGCTGCAGCTTGTAAGATATGCAAAGAAGCCTCAGGAAAGACTGGGAGGAAAATGGGCATTTTTCTCTGCTGCCTCTGGTGGGTTTTCCACAGTAAGTCCAAGCCAGTTAACCATTCTCTGTTTGCTGTGGTCTCGTGGGTCCTGCGGGCACCAGGCTTGTCGGCTTTCAAACCTAGGTGTTTCAGGGGCATCCCTCAGAAGTCTTAAAAATGGGGCCGTTAGATGTTGCATCCACACCCTTCAGTCCTCTGGGAGTGTATGTAAGTTCCTTCCTGATTGTTTGCTGCTGTGCCAGAAGTGGAGTTTATGGCAAGAGTGTCTCTAAACTTCTCCAACCCGTTTTGGGGGGTGGGGGGGTGTTTCCTTGTTTGACCGTGGCAGCGTTTCTCAGCTGTTTTCTGGATTTCTTTGAGAAGGAATTGTTCCATGTGTAGCTCTAGATTTGGTGTATTAGATTTGGTGTATCCATGGGAGGAGATGAATTCAGGAGCCTCCTGTGTCACTGTCTTGATCAGAACTTCATTTATCTTAAAACTCAGTAATTAGGTGCATATACATTTAAGGTTGGTACATCTTCTGGACTTACTATATCTTTTGTTATGAAATATCCATCTCTAGTAACACTTGTCTTGAAGTCACCTTTCTCTTTAGTGTTTGCATCCTATGTCTTTGTCTTTCTTAATCCTTTTTTAACCAATGCTTGTCTTTTATATTTTCCTAAGTCTTTTTAAACACAATATTGAAGCTTGCTTTTTATCCAGTATGATGATATTTGCATTTATTGGTGATGCTTAATTTGTTTACATAATTTGTGGTTGGGTTAAGGTCTGTTACCATGTTTTTCCTCTTTGTCCCATTTTTTTTTCTCCTCTGCATTAATCAAGTATTTTTTAATATTGCATTTTATTGCTTCTATTGGCTCTATAACTACACCATTTACATTTTCTTAATACTTGCTGGAAGGATATACATTCTTAATACAGCCTACCTTAAATAACATACCATTTATGCCTATATAATATATATGTCATATATGTGTACTCCACTTATCCCTTTATGGTGTAATTATATATTTTACTTCTACATGTCCTAAATCTTAGTTTTTTAAATTTTGCTTTAAATTGTTTTAAATACACTATTATTTTCCTTTCAAAAGTTAATTGGAAATAGAGCTACCCTACAACCCAGCAATTGTACCAGGTATTTACCCTAAAGATACAAATGCAGTGATCCAGAGGGGCACCTGCACCCCAGTGTTTATAGCAGCAATGTCCACAATAGCCAAACTATGGAAAGAGCCCAGATGTCCGTCGACGGATGGATAAAGATGTGGTGTGTATATATATTGAATATAATGGAATATTACGCAGCCATTAAAAAATGAAATCTTGCCATTTGCAATGACTTGGATGGAACTAGAGGGTATTATGCTAAGCGAAATAAGTCAATCAGAGAAAGACAATTAACCATATGATCTCACTGATATGCAGAATTTAAGAAACCAACCAGGCAAGGGATCATAGGGGAAGAGAGGAAAAAACGAAACAAGACAAAACCGGAGAGGGAGACAAACCATAAAAGACTCTTAATCATAGGAAACTGAGGGTTGCTGGAGGGGAAGGGGGCATGGGGATGGGTAACTGGGATGGGGTAACGGGGTGATAGACATTGGGGAGGATATGGGTTATAATGAACACTAGGTATTATGTAAGATTGATGAATCACAGACCTGTACCCATGAAACAAATAATATATATTGAATTTAAAGTTAATTGGATTTTAATTTAGGCACTAGAAAAATAATTTTTATCATTTTTGGCACTTTTTTCCTTCATGAAGGTATGTTTCATCAGGTTATCACGTACCTTCAATGTGAAGAATTTCCTTTAGTATTTTGTGTAGTGCAGGTCTTCTGAAATCAAATTTTCTCAGCTTTCATTAATTTAAAGGATATAGAATTTTATGTAAAGATCACCATTTAGACTTTTAGTTTGAAAGTTTTTTTAAGCACTATGAAGACATTTGTAATCCATTTGTACATTTCTTCTGGTCATTTGTTCGTTCTTACCATTTTTCCCTGCTGTGTCTTTTTTCCTTTTAAAATTTCTCATCTTGTTTTCCAGCAGTTTGATAATGATGTGCATAGGTGTGATTTCCCTTATATTTATCTTGTTTGCAGTTTGAGTTTCTTGGATCTGTGCATTGCTTATTTTTTTAAATCAAATTGGGAAAATTTTCAACTTTTATTTCTCCACATATATTTTTCTGCCCTAATCTCTCTTCCTCTCCTGGATTCCAGCTGTCCATGTTAGATCACTTGCTATTTATATGTTATTAAGTCTGTTCGTTTTTTTTAATCCTTTTAACCTCTCTATGCTTCAGTTTAGTTTCTAAAGATGAACTAAGTTCACATACTCAGACTGCCTAAATCTTATTTTTTCAAACCCCAAAGATTATGCTTTTTAAACATTTGAGCTAGACTTTTAAGGGATGAAGGAGACATCCATGGAATAACTAGTCAGTTATTTAGTGCTTCCCCCACCACCTGAATAGGTAGTTGATACTGAATAAAAGATTTAGAATTATGGGACAGAAATTGGTTAAAAGTACAAGAGTATAGTATATCAGAGAAAAGGCTAGAATGTTATCTGTACCCCAGAAGAGCTAGGTTGGAGGGAGAAATGAGGGTTTACTACAGGTGAAATTATTCACCAGGTTTATTTAGGCCCTTACTGAAGCTTTATTTTCCCTAAAGTTTTTTTTTTTTTTTGATGAATACTTTCATTACAAAAATGCTATCATTTGGTTAACAGCAAACTTTTGAGACACAAGGGGATGTTAACAGTTCTCAATCTTCTAAAAACATCCAGCCCAACTCATTCAGAGCTCAAAAGGACAAGCAAGAGTGTGCTCAATCATATGCAGTGAGAGGATGTTACAACCATTTCAACAGGTGTGAAATTTGAAAGTTCCAATTATAGTTAACTAAAAATGGATTACATCATTTCTAATCCAAACTAAATCAGACATGACACATATCGAGTGTAAGAATTCAATTCATCTGGAACAGCTACTTGTAGAAGTGTACTATAAACATTGATGTTTTAAGGTGAATTATGATCCTGTAAGCATATAACACTGCAATTAGAAAAATAGACATTTTAGTCTTTTTATACTAAAGAAAAAGGAATAGACATTCAGTAAACACATTCCAGATGAAATAAGTTTTACAAAAAAAAATGAAGGCTGAGAAATTAAATTTGCCATGAAGAACTTCAGAAATCAGACTTTTCTGCCTAACACTACAAATGCTGGAGATGTCTGTGAAAATATGGACATTAAGCACATCTAAATAAATGTAAGTCAAGATAGGGCATATAATTCAATGAATAACCACAGGATAAGCTACTATGTCATCTCCAATGAACAGATTTCAAAGTAATCAGCATTGGAATGGGAAAGACAGTTTTTAACCTTTAATTCTAGCAGTACCCAAACAGTATTACAATATTATAAGTATTTATGCCCAAATGTTAGTTTTTTAATGACAGAAACTCAATATTCACACAGGGATAAGTAGTTTAATTCACAATTTATTGAATTGCAAATTAGGTGGTTATGTGAGTTAGAGAATAAATCTCCAAAAATATCTTGGCAGGTTCCTGAATGTCTAAGTGTATGCCAACATTATTGGACTTTATTAGAAGCTAAGAATATGAAGTACTTATCAAGGTTTCAACAATAAAAATATTTTTTAAAATACCACATTTGGTAATAAATTAGATTTATAGAAATTGATAATTGAAAATAAATTAAACCTGAGTTGTAAATGCCTCCTACCCCGCCCACCCCCAGCATACATAACTTGTATCACATTTTCTTTTAGACCAGTGTGCCTCAAACTTTAGTAAGCATACATATTCCTTGAGGATCTCATTAGAGGCAGTTTGATTCACTAATTCTGTTGTGGGACCTGAGGATCCACGTTTCTAACAAGCTACATATGAAGCTAATGCTGGTCTTTAGACCACCCTTGAGCAGCAAGGTGACCTAAAGTATAATGAAGATGGTTTCTGGCCTAATATACCCTATGGTTTTATAGATTATTCAAGGCTGTTAAGATTTTGGAATCAAACGTAGCCACAAATGATCACAAAAAATAAGTCTTGGAAGAAAAGAATGTTTTAGTTAAGTGAGAGCTTAAAGTATACCAAATTGGCAGTGTTTCTATTTGTCTGACAGTGACACCTCTGATACAATATAAATCAGAACACCAAGTTCTTGTAACTTTAAACAGTTACTATAGCTTGAGGCTCTCTTCCACATTCAAGTCCAGAAAATTCAAGCCAGTACACTGCAAAACCACTATGAAAAATCTTTAATGGTTAACTGCCCATATTAATTACTTATAAATTCGCTTTAAGCTATCCCATCTCCTCCTCTTTCAACAAATAAATGTTTTTTTTTCTGTCTTGTAGCTAAACAGCGTGTCACACCCAATGCCCCTCCCTTTAAAAATCGAACAAAATTGTCTCCAACCAAAGGACCCAATGCAAAAAGGTTGGCTTCTTTAACACATTCGTAGGTATATGCATCTATTTCCACAGGATTACTCTTACATGTGATTGGCTGGCTTGAGTTATGGCCCAAGTAACAGCCTTGTTCCTTCAGAAAAGACAGATTGGGATGAGAACCTATGAGTACTACTGCTGCAGACAGCTTAAATATTTTTTTCAATCCAGAGAGGCTTTGAAGAATGCATTTCATGTCCGCCTTAAAGGAAAGCACATGGTGCTCAGGAAAACTGGTATAATCAGATAAAAGATTGGACTCTACAGAATATGACTGAGTACACATCATATGATAGACTTTATGGTATTCTGGATAAAGCTTTTTGGGAAGCTGTTTGAAAATTAAGCTTGGATCAGTTACTCGTCTGCGAAACACATGAATCACAGGAATATTATTGTTGTACGCACACAGTACTGCATCAGCTGCAGTAAGCCCAGAACCTACAATTAACACTGGATCCACTCTGCCACGCAACTTTCCTTTGCTTATAGCAGCTCCAAATTCAGGCATTGAATGAAACACAAAAGGAAAATCTTCCCCTTCAATTTCCAGATGGGCAGGAGAATCCAATGTTCCAGTTGCCAGAGCTACATTCTCAGCAAAGAGACAGAAGGGAACATGGGAACCATCCGCTATTCGCTGATAACCCCTGATTTCCCAATTTCTCTTGATAAATTTAGACTTCTCTATCTGTAAATGCTGTGTTGAAATATTTCTGTCTTGTCCATCATCATCATCTTGATCTCTGTAGAGTCTTGATACAGAGGTGATATAAGTATTCTCTCTGAAATTCTTCTGAAGACCCATGACTTTTACATAATGTTTATAGTAGCGAGCTATTTCCTCTGGCATAACTCTGTCTCCTTTTAGGTTCCTAAAAATGGAAAAGGAAAAATATCCTATGAGAAGAGTACTGTGATAGTTTCCATGATTATTCCTGTTCCTCCTAGTAAGCTATTACAAACATTTTTAATTCCTCTGGACTGTCTTAGCTATAAATTATCCTTTTACAAAGAAAGCAAGTTTTCTTTAGTCAAAAATGTTAAAGAATTAGTTTTATCAATAGAAGTCCCATGAGGGTAGAAACTATTTTAATGCATCTGTTTCCCCAGTGCCTTGCATAGGATCTGTTCAGATTAGCTACCTTTATCAAGAAATGTATTAAATAAATGAATTAAAATGTGGAAATACACTTTTATAGTCTTATCTCACAACTAAATAATTCAGTCTACTGTTGTCTACACACTGTAATAGACTGAATTAGATTATAATTGAGATTCTGCCAGTCTATTGTATATATATTTCTTAATATACATGATTTTGACATGATTTTTCATGAGTTGTTTCCTAATGACTGAAAATTCAGATCCATCTTCTGAAGAAAATCATCTTAATCTAAGTACATAAAACATTTGTGTTTTCCTGTTCATAAGGAAATCTATAAAAACAGTAATGTACTTTTTTCATAAAGAGCAGTTCCTTTCATTTTCCACTTGAACTTTAAAGCAATAGGCATTAATACCCCTAAACCCTGGGCCCCAATTAGAAAGAAGTAGCAGTAAAAACATACCTAATAATTTCACATAATTCATTACAAATTATAACTGGATATTCATAAAAGTTTTTCTTAAAATTTAAGATTTAAAATGTTAACTCTCACTTTTTACAGAAACCCTGTGTAGCAGTTAATACTATCATAATCTCCATTTTATAAATGAGGAAATTAACAGCTAGTTTAAGTTACTTGACCATGGTCACAACATTAGAAGTCGGAGTCAGGATTCAAGAGTCAGTCTCTCAAGATCTAATAGTCAACACTATGCAAAGGCAGGAAGTGAAGCCAATATTTAATCACAAGATTCGTTTTCACATTCCTTCAATGTACAATATGCCCAATGTAAAAGGATGAACACTTCTAGCACATAAAAAAATAAAGCTTCCCCTTTTTTACCCGTATCACCAAAGGAAGAATGTTAAGCAATTTTTCACTTGCTTATGAAAATCAAGAACTTGTACAACTTGCCTGATTTTACTACTTTTCATTTCAAACCCATATAAAATTCATTTTTTAAAAAATCCAAAAGGTATTGGGGCACCTGGGTGGCTCAGTCAAGCGGCTGCCTTTGGCTCAGGTCATGACCCAGGGTTCTAGGATCGAGCCCCACATCGGGCTCCCTGCTCAGCAGGAAGCCTGCTTCTCCCTCTCCCACTCCCCCTGCTTGTGTTCCCTCTCTCGCTGTGTCTCTGTCAAATAAATATTAAAAAAAAAAAAAAATCCAAAAGGGGGGCGGCCTGGCTGGCTCATTCAGAAAAGCACGTGATTCTTGATCTCGGGGTCATGAGTTCAAGCCCCACGCTGGGTGGTGGGATTACTTAAATAAATAAAACTTAAAAAAAAAAAAAATCTGAAAGGTTTAATTCTCAATGACTCATCCTGGCCTGAATTTGTTCTCCTTAAATCTTCCCAAATTAAGGATAATTTCTATGGAGTAATATGGTTCCTATCTAAAAGGAAGTCAAGCACTCAAATGTTGCAACCCTGTTCTAACAGAGGTCAAGTAACTTCCCTGCTTTATTGTTTCTGTGAGCAAATCAGATTCTCTGTATTAGCGATTCCTATCTAATTTAATACTACTATCCTTGAAAATAAGGCTTTTCAGGGTGCCTGGGTGGCTCAGTCGTTAAGCATCTGCCTTCGGCTCAGGCCATGATCCCGAGGTCCTGGGATTGAGCCCCGCATCGGGCTCCCTGCTCAGCGGGAAGCCTGCTTCTCCCTCTCCCACCCCCGCTGCTTGTATTCCCTCTCTCACGGTCTCTCTGTCAAATAAATAAATAAAATTAAGCTTTGCGCAGTGGCAGTATCATAGCCAATGAGGTTTATCCGAGGCGCGATTATTGCTAATTGAAAACTTTTCCCAATAAATAAATAAAATTTAAAAAAAAAAAGGCTTTTCATATTACTTTACATTTTAGGTATTTTTCCCCAAATAAATTCATATTCTTCCAAGCAGAGCTTTCTTCTTTCTTCTATTTTCATATTTCTTAATATTTACCTCTATAGTAGCCAATAGGGTAACCAATCACATCACAGATTCTGGCTTATTCCATCATTCTAAATTATTAATCATATGTACTCTTCTACTCTGAAAGTCAAACACTATAGGTATATATACATGAGATATCCATACACAAACTTGTCTATCGACTGATAAGAATAAGTAAGTATAGAAAGGATTTGTGGGTGGATGAGAAACTAAACAGGGTGGTTTAATCAGAAAGTGGGATAAATCCATAATTAACAAAAGCAAAGGAACCCAATCTGTCTTACAACATCTCTCTAAATGGAAATTAGCTCATGATCACTGCTAAAAGAGGTTTTATTTGAAAGACATACTATTCCTCTAAGACAGAGTCACAAATATTTTGAAATTTGCTGATGGACTTTCTCATTGTACATCAAAGAACTGTAACAGTTTGATCTTTACCTTCGTTTGCTAGATACCCAATCTTTAAATTTAAGTCCAGGTAGCTCCATCCAATTTCCAAAGCTGATTGTCAACATGGAACCTTCCATATTCTATTTGAATAAAAAATGCACAAATACATTTAAGCAGTGACATGGATTTTTTTTAAAAAACCAAATCCATCTTCATTCACTGTAATTAAGAATCTGGATAAGGAGAGCTGAAAGAAGTTCTAAATGGATGTGTAAATTACAAATACTTTTATCATTTTGTAGGATCTATATTCCTTCTTTCATAAAGTTATACACTTATAAAACAAGTTTATAATATTGCCAGATGCCCATACAACGTTAATAGCTTCAGCCTATAATAATATAATCCAGGTATAGAATATGTTAGAGGAACAAATCAAATCAGTATTTTCACTTTTTAAACAAAAGGAGAAAAGTTCATTAATTTCTAACACTTTAGATGTAAATCCATTTTAATATTAATGGATTTTTTTAAAAATGTGCAGAACAGCTTTTCCCCCTCCATCAATTACAATTACAAAGTCAGCTGGTTTGGATACAGCAACATCTCGTTCTAAAACTAGGGAAAGAAGCAGTGGTTACCTGATTAAGAACAGACTCACTGCTGAAGAAGCTAATGCTGCCTTTGAGGACGTGAGCCCTTCAGGCTCCCTTGTCCTACTTCTTTCTGCTTTGCTCACTACAACGCAACAAAAAGCCCAAGGGCCAACAGCACCTGTCCCGATGACCTCAATGATGTCTTTCAACCAACTCTTTGAGGCTATGGCTGTTTCTTAAGTCTTCTTGCCCTGCTTCTATACAACCCAGTACTGGGAATGGTACTTATTGTTATAGTTACTATTATTGACTAACATTTCCAAGCACTTACTATGTGCTGGGCCTTAAGAAGCCTATTATTTGTGACAGTGTGTAGATTACTCCTGGGAGAGAAGGCAGCAAGGTGCCACTGCTTTGGGGCAGACTGGGCCTGATACTAGGATACGAACCAAGAAGATGGAAAACATCACAAGGGAAACTAAAGAATGTATTATATACAGAAGTTATCTGGAGCTATAATTGTCTCATCTGAAACTCAAAAACCTTAAGGCACAAATATTCCACTTTCTACAATCTACACTTTATTCCCACGGCACCAGCTCTTCCAGTTAGTTGTGAGCCCTAGTCCCTTGATCTCTTCATCTTTCTCCCAGTCTTCCTTGTTTTCCTTATGCCATGAATTCCTGCTGCCAGGGAGACTATAGTATATTAAGGAACACAAACCTGACAGAAGTACCAGGGGCATACAGAAAGAGAAGAATATTTCTTAAAGGACACAAATGGGCTGTGGGGAGTGTACCATTAGGGAGAATATTCCAGGCAGATTAAAGATGTTATGTGAGTTTTATAAAGAGAAAGAACAGCAGTGTCCTTCAAGAAATGAAAATAATCAGCCTTACGCAAGAAAGTATTAACAGACTTGGGTTGCTTAAACCGTGCACATTACTAAGAAAGGTCTGTCTTTAGGACCTGGCTTTTGGCTGCTTCCTAGGAAACAACCCCTGAGCTCTTGGAATATTCTACCTGATGAGTGACTTTTTGTATGCCAGAGGCCTTGGGCCCTGCTGTACCTGTAACTGTACAGTGTGACTGTAAGTTTATCTTAACAATGAGATTTATGGTAAACACTAGCGTTTGCTCTGGGAGGCAGAGGAGTCAGTCACATGGGTGCTGCTTTTCTACATGACTGGCCCCCAGAAGATCCTGGACACCAACGTGTGGGTGAGCATCCCTGATTGGCAATTCTTTGCACATGTTGTCACAAATCATTGTTGGGAGAATTAAGTGCAGCCCCCTGCAACTCCACTAAAAATGAACATTTAGAAACTGGAGCTTGTTTTCTCCTGGACTTTATTCCATGAACTTTTTCCCTTTAATGATTCTAATCTGTATCCTTTCACTGTAATAAACTATAACCATGAGTACAACACCTTTAAGGAGTCCTGTGAATCCTAGTGAATCTACAGCCTGAGTGTGAACCTGGATTCCCAGAGAGAGTATTCTGGAGCATGGAATGTAAGAGAGCAGTAAAGCAAGAAAGTCAAATGGGGGCTAGATCACCCAGGTATTGGTAAAATACATTAATGAGTTTGCATACTATTCATTAGATGAATTAAGAGCAGCTACAGGATTTTATGCATGGGTGTTAACATTCAAAAGAAAGATAACTCTGGCTTTGGTATGAAGAAGAAAAGACTGGAGTAGGAAACCTTTGCAATAATTTGGGTCAAAGATGATGATGGCCAAATACAATTACGATGGGGAAAAGTAGGGTGGAAGGACTCACAATATGTTTATGAGAAAGAATGGAGAAAATACAATAACTGGTTTGAAATGGGAGTTGAGGCAAGAACAATCAAGGAAGGTTTTTGGCTTGAGTAACAACATTCCAGGGCTATTACTCCATGATAAGGAAAGGAAGAAATCTGATGATAAAGATGATTGGTTATGTAGGCATGCTGAGTTTGAGAACACCTATAGAATAATCAAGGGAAGGTATCTAGGTGAATCTGTAAGAGAAAGCAATGTGGGCCAGGGTCCTGATTTGGGAATCACTCAGCAGTCACATGCAAGTCACTGAAGTATATGAGACAAGCCAGGGAGAATGAAGGCAAGACCATGGCTTGGCAGAGAGCTTACAGAAGAGTCCACAAGGTAATGAAAAGGAGTGACTATAAGAAAAACAAGGAGATGAAAGGTTCAGAGAATCTAAGAGGGGTATCATCGTTGTCAAATGTTACAGAGGTCAGGAAAGAAAAATTCTGAGACTATCAAACTGAGCAAAAAAGGAAGTTACCAACCTTTAAAAAGCAGAAAGGGCAGTGACAGAAGCTAGAGTGAAGTTGGCTAAGGAATAGGAGGCGAAGGCAAAAAATAATGGATAGGTGGGGCGCCTGGATGGCTCAGTCAGTTAAGCGTATGCCTTCGGCTCAGGTCATGATCCCAGGGTCCTGGGATCGAGCCCCAAGTTGGGCTCCCTGCTTGGTGGTGAGCCTGCTTCTCCCTCTCCTCCCCGGCTCATGCTATCAGCTCATGCTCTCTGTCGCTATCTCTGTCTCTCTCTCAAATAAATAAATAAAATCTTAAAAAAAAAAATAATGGATAGGTAACTATTTCAAGAAGGTGGCTCTAAAGCAAAGAATACAGATAAGCTAACAGAAAAACTTTTTAGTAATAGAAAATAATTTTAGTATATTTATATACTGATAAATAGGAGCTGCCAGAGAAACTTAAGATACAAGAAGGGGAAAATCAAATAAGCAATATCCTCGGAGAACACAGGGGTCCAGAACATAGCTGGAAGGTTAGTCTTAGATAGAAGGGATACCACTTCTACCGTAACAGGGGATAAGAAACAAAAAGGTAGCATGAATGCAGATACGTTTGCAGGTTTGAGCACAAAATTATGGAAGTTCAATCCTGATGGATTCTATTTTCTAAGAATCAAGAGTATTTCTAAGTAGGAAGGTGAAAAAAAAGGGATTGAGATTTGAGAAGAATATTTAATAAGGAAATATCAAAGGATTACTAAGTAGTGTTCAAGACCCAAATGAGGTTGGAGAATACTTTTCACAGCTGTCCAACTTTTTTTTCCTGGCAATGTTTAACAGTTTAAGTATGGGAAAAGATAATGCAGACAGTCACATAAATTGCTTTTTTAACCAAGCCCATGTGATAGAAGGACAATGGGTCAAGAGACTACAGCACCCAAGCTGGGTAGGTAAGGAGGTGAAGATCAGAGCCTCAAACTCTCTGTGTTTGCAGATTAGGTTCAGTGTAATTGGGTGATGCAGCCGGAAGAATAAAAAGTTGTGATCCTAAAGTAACGTATTTGAAAATTCAGGTTTTCACTGAGTAGTCACAGTGGCGCCCCTGGAGTCAGTATCTAAGGAGGAGAAGAGGAGATCATTGAGAATGAAGAGACTAAGAGGTTAAGGGGTTGCTTCTGTGTCACATACGTAAAGGTACTCAAGTTGACAATAAAACCTGAGATACAATGGAAAACCATGACTTAGGTGCCACAGATTCAACAACTGAGGGGGGACAAGCAGGCACAGTCGAGCTAGAAGATAACAAGACCTGTTCAAAGGAACAGGGACTCTGACAGAAGAGCGATGGGGAAGAAAGAGAACCCCAACCTCACTAGTCAACCTGATAGGACATGGGGCCATGGGGAGTGAACAGACTCCACTTCAGAGGGCTGCAACGAGAACAGTATCTTCAGGAAAGCAAGATTTCAAGGAAGGGAGTAAAAGCAGTATATAATAATTGAAATGGTTAAGAGTAAACAAAAGCTCATTTATTATCAAATGGAGTTTTAGGGGTACACTGTTAGAAAGTCTGGAAGTGAGGAGAATGGTGAGAAACTGGATCACACAAGAGAAGGAAAGAACTATACAGAAATGACTACGAGAGGACAAATGACTTAGGGAGCTTACATCCTGAGTCATAACTTAGGTTAACAAGCATGTACGTGAAGTACGGCAGGGGAGAGGGCTGTCTAAAAAGATAGTACTACAGTCAAGAGCTTTAAGATTAAGGTATGGAATGCAGAGGTGGGAGGGAATAAATAATTATGCCTGGAAAAGTCAGGTCAATTCATAGAAGTGATGCTTGAAAGATGGATAATAGCTAAAATATCATTTATTTATAACCCTATTCTAGTGGATATCCTATATGATGCATGAAAAAAATTCAGCAAGTTTTAAGTATATTTTAGCTTTACCACTGATTCAAATGTTTTTAGTAATCAAGGCTTACACATGCTTTAACTTTCCTATATAAAAGGAAAAAATGATATAATAGATTATTGTCTGTACATTTTTCTAAGCAGGAAAATATAAGTACAATAAAACCTCAGGAATTTAGACAAGCATTATGCATTATGGCTTTTTCAGGAACTACCGTTTAACAATGCTACTCATTAATAGCACAAATATAAACACTTAAGCCAAAAGGCACAGATAATGTTAGTTGCTATCTGTTACCATTAAGGAACTTAACATTAAGAAAGAAGTTGGTGATATATTTAATCTAAAAAGTCCCCCAAATACCCTGAAACAGTCACTTATTAAATGTAAATAACTATTTAGACATACAGCATTGCACTAATATAGGAATATTCAACTGAAGTCTGTAATGAAGATCTGATATTTAATGTTAAAATTCTGATGAAATCCTTATTCATAAAATAGCAAAAATTATTTACCATTTATTTGTATAACAAATGAGCATTCACTACATACCAGATGCCATACTAACAGCTAAGGACACAGGAGAAAAGAAAAATTATTAGTTCCTGACCCCTAAGGAGATGCACTGAATTTTTATGTTAATCAATTCTCTGGTTTAACCCCTGCCATGAACTCAATTTGTGTCACCCCCAAAATCCATATGCTGAAGCCCTAACCCCCAGTGCCACGGTATTTGGAGATGAGGCCTTTGGGAGGTAACGAGGGCTCCAGGAGGTCATGAGGGTAGTGCCCTCATGATAGGATTAGTGGCTTTATTAGAAGAGGGGCAGAGGGGAGGAAGGAGCATGCGCCAAGAAAGGCGCTGTCTGCAAACCAGCAAAAGAGCCCTCACACGAACTGAACAAGCTGGCACCTTGCTCTTGAACTTCCCAGCTCCACACTATGAAATAAATATCTGTTGTTTAAGGCACTCAGTCTATGTTATTTCATTACAGCAGCCCAAGCAGATTAATACAACTTCTTTCTTTTACAATCCACTTTTCACTTAAGATATTGAAAACATAGGGAAATAATGGGTATTGGCCTGAAATACTGTGTGAGATTTTATAAAGTCTGAAATGAATTTAAAACTTTTTACTATGCAAAACAATGTTAAAATATTTTCTATATAGTTATTGTAAAATAGTATAGAGAAGCTTAGTTCTAAGACTATACTGGTAATCAAATTTGGCTTAACTATACTGGTAATCAAATTTGGCTTAACTTCAATTTTATTGAACACCATTAAAATTCTCAGATAAAAATGTGGTAAATGTATATAATGTATGATAACGTTGTATATCATGTTTCAAAATTCAAACGGTCTTATCAAGATGACATATAACAACTTACATACACTATAAAACGCAAAGAAAAACATACTCACATGCCAAGCTCCACCAGGTGGACCTTTACCAAGAACTAAGTGAGGGATGTAATGATGTTGTTCTAATTTCCAATGCAAAACGGATGGATAATCATAACCAAAGTCAGCATCTGGATGAAGAAGTGTGTCAAAAAGTACTGCAACTGGATTGGATGATCGGCCCTCAAGGCCCTCAGACAAGTATTCTAAGTCCTGAATAAATTTTTCAAAAAAAGAAAGAAAAAAGGTAGAGTTTGAAGGAAAAAAAACAAAACAAAAAAAAAACCTCAGCTGGTACAATAGTGAAAGCCATCACTCTAATCCAGCATTTCCTTGGTGGTGTTACTATAAAACACTGATGTTCCCTGGGACCTTAACAGATTCTTTGGTCAAATGAATATAGGAAAAGACTGGATTTCAACAAAACTAATCAGATCCTTTTACTGCAACTCTTGAAGATGCATTTAAAATACATTAATATGCCTTAATATGTCTACTGTAACATTCCAATAACAAAAAGCAGCACTTCCCAAACTTATTTGAACATAGAGCACCTATTAAAACTCCCGCCAGGAAATAATTTGGGAAATTTGAGTATTAAAAAAAAAAAAAAAAAGCGAAAAAATTGACATGTAAGAAATACCTGATCAACAATGGAAAGATGTCTTGCTTCTTCTAATTTACTATGTAAGATTGTATTTGGATGTATTGCTTCTGATGATAAATATGGTCTGTAGCCTGATAACATATAAGAAAGGCAGATTCCTGAGGGTCCATTTCCTATTTAGAAAAAAAAAAAAAAAGGTGGAGAGGTACATCATCTGTCTTAATATTCTTATTCCTTGGCTTTTCTCAAAGATGCATTTTCTCCCTTACCAATTTGTCTTCCTTCCCTAAACTCTTAAAACCAAGTATTCATAAGATACTGACTTTTGTCTTCTCTGTTTTCTTTCGGTAGTCTCATCTACTTGAAGCTTTAAGTCTCTATGCTACTGACCCCAAATTAGACCTGTAGGCTGACCTCTTGCCCAAAAATACATCCCACATTTCCATATGCCACTCCTTCACTCCACCTAGTCGAACCACTAAATAATTTAATCACAATGTGTCCAAAAGCATATTCATGAGTTCCTTCATTTAAATGTCCTCTCCTTTAAATCCCATCCCCTCTCAAAGTCTGGTGCTAACAAAACCCTAAATTAATCAGGTTCTGATTCTAAATCTATTTAGTCACTATATCCATTCAGTTGTCTTTGTGTCACTCCAAGACAAAAAGTCTCTTGTTCATCCTAAAGATACACCTATTCCAAAATCATTTCACGTTCTACATTCAGATGAATTTTGATAAAACAAGGTCCTCATCATACTACCCCCTCCATTTGGAAAGCTTTAATTGCTGGCTTCTGATTACCCAGTGCTCACCATGTTCTGGTCTCAATCATCTTTCCAGACCCATCTCCTAATAGTGTCTTCCTACATTTTTATATGCTTAAACTAAAACCAAACTGGATTTTTTGTTGAACTCTGGTGAACTAGCTCCATTTCTGTAGTTCCTTTAGTCTAGGTTTTCACTTCTCTATTATCTCCATCTACCAAAAATTTAATCCAACTGGGATAACTGCTAGCCTCAGGAAGAAAATTCTGTTCCATTCTCTAATATTTTGCCCCAAATAAAAGAAGCTCAAAGATGTAAATATGAAAAGTAAAATCCAAGAATATTGGAAAATGGACTGCTACTTCTCCTTATACTGAAGTGGGAAGCCTTTAAGCATGACACAAAACTCAAAAGACGGAAAGGAAAGTAAACCAATTGCCTTCATAAAAATTAAAAACAAATGAGAAATAGTGGAAGTTAAGATCTGAGGCAGAGTTAATTTCCTTGAATCAAAAACAAAGACAAAACTGAAGAATAAATATCATATAATAATATCAATACAGATAAAAGATACAGAAAAAGCATTTAACAAAATCCAACAACTATTCATAATAAAAAAAAAAAACAACTCCGTAAACTCAGAGGGATACTTCCTCAAGTTGGTAAATTTCTACAGTAAACCTACAACTAACATCATACTTAATGGTGAAAAACTAGATGCTTTCCCTCCAAGATCAAGAACAAGGATGTCTCTTCCCATCATTCCTATTCAACACAAACCATGATAAAAGTCATAGTTAATGCAGTAAGAAAAGGAAATAAGAGACTTAGAAAGAAATAAAACTGTCTTTGTTCATAAAAGCCATGATTTCTATGTAGAAAATCCCAAAGAATGGACCAAAAAACTCCTAGAACTAACATCAAGATTGCACAATACAAGGTTATATGCAAAAGCCAATTTCTTTCCTATATACCAGCAATGAACAGGTGGCATTTGAAATTAAATGTACAATACTGCTTAATCTATGCATGTGCCCACACACACACACCCACACCCACACACAAATACCTGGGTATGAATCCAACTATATATATTTAAGATGCTAACTATATATGTAAGATGCATACAAGGAAAACCACAAAAACTCTGATAAAGATGATCTAAATAGATGCTCATGAATAAGAAGATTTGATATTGTTCAGATGTCAGCTCTTCTCAACTTCATCTACAGATTCAATGCAATCCAGGTAAAAATCCCAGCAAGTTACTCTGTGGATACCAACTAATTCGAAAGTTTGAATGGAAAGGCAAAAGACCCAGAATAGCAAACACAATACTGAAGCAGCAAGTCAGGACCAACATATCCAAACTCAAGTCTTCCATTCAACTACAATCAAAAAGACAGTATGGAAATTATTAAAGAGGAGACAAATCAATGGAACAGAAGACAGCAGAGATAGATTCTCACAGATACAGTCAAACTGATCTTTGACAAAGGGGCAAAGGCAATCCAATGGAGAAAGGAGAGTCTTTTCAACAAATGGTGCTGGAACAAATGGACATCCACATGCAAAAATATGAATCTAGATACCAACCTTTTATCTTTTACAAAAATTAACTCAAAATAGATCAAAGACCTAAATACAAAGCACAAAATTATAGAACTTCTAGAAGATAAAATAGGGGAAAAATCTAGGTGACCTTGGGTTTGATAGTAAGTTTTTAGATATAACACTAAAAACAGGATCATCCATGGAAGAAAAAAACTGATAAACAGAACTTCATTAAAATTTAAAATTTCTGCTCTGCAAAAGACACTATTAAGAGAGTGAAAAGATGTCACACTGGGAGAAAATATTTGCAAAACCTAACATATACAAAGAACTCTTGAATCTCAACCATAAGAAAATAACCTAATCAATTAAAAAGTACAGAAAGGATATGAACAGGCATTTCAAAGATACACAGATAACAAATAAGCATATGAAAAGATGCTCATCATGTATGATTACAGCACTGCAAACTAAAACAATGAGGTACCACTACACATCTACTAAATGGCTAAAATCTAAAACACAATACCAAATGCTGACAAAGATTTAGAGAAACAGGAACTCTCATTCACAGTTGTCAGGAATGCAAAATGATACAGCCACTCTGGAAGACAGTTTGACAGTTTCTTAAAAAGCTAAACATAGTCTTATGATATGATCCAACAATCACACTCCTAGGTATTTACCCAAATGAGTTGAAAACTCAATGGCTGTGCAAAACCTACACATGCATCTTTATAGCAGCTTTACTCATAATTGTCAAAAATTGTCAGCAACCAAGATGTCCTTCAATAAGTGCATAAACAAACTCAAACATCCATACAATGCAATAGTATTCAGTGATAAAAAAGAAATGAGCTATCAAGCCATGAAAGGACTTAGACGAATCTTTAAGGCATACTGTTAAGTGAAAGAAGCCAGTATGAAAAGGTTCCATACTGTATAATTCCATGAATATGATATTCTAAATCAAAATTACACAGACAGTAAAAGATCAGTGGTTGCCAGGGGTTGGGGGTTGAGGGACAGGATAAATACATGGAGCAAAGAAGATTTTTAGGGCAGTGAAACTATTCGGTAGGATACCATAATTGGGGATACATGACTTATACATTCAGCAAAACCCACAGAACTATACAACACAAAAAAGTGAACCCTAATGCAAACTACAGATTTTAGCTAAAAATAATGTATAATCAGAGGTTCATCAATTATAACAAATGCACCACACCAATGCAAGATACTAATAATAGGGGAAACTGGAGGTGGCAGGAGAACGGGAGTATAGGAGAACTCTCTGCACTTTCTACTCGATTTTCATGTAGACCTAAACTGCTCTAAAAATCTATTAATTAAAATAAACATTAAATAAATGCAAAATAGTGGGACTTAGGATCTGAGGCAAAGAGCTAAGTTCCTTAAATCAAAAAGAAACAACACTCAGCAGACATAGGCAAAAAATACAAACAGGCAGTTTACAGAGAAATAAATACATAGGTGGAATGCTCCTTCACTCCCAAAGATGGTCCCCATCCTAACCCCAGGAACCTGAGAGTGTTACTTTATATAACAAAAGGTAACTTTGTACATGTGATTAAATTAAGGATCATGAGATCCGGAGAATACCCTGGATCGTAAAGGGAGACATCACCTAATTATACCAGTCCTAAAAAGAGAGACTCTTTCCCAGCTTTGGCGAGGGGGAAAGGGGACAATGAAAGAAGATTAAGAGAGCACCCACACTGCAGATTATGAAAATGGAGAAGGGGTCCAGGAGTCAAGAAATGAGAATAATCTATAGAAACTGGAAAAGGCAAAGAAACAAACGTTCTGCCCTAGAGGCCCCAGAAAGGAAGGCAGTCTTGCTGACATCCTGACTTTAGCCCACAGAGACTAGTGTTGGACTTCTGACCTATAAAACAGTGAAATAATAAATTTACATAGTTTAAAGCCACTATGTTTGTGGAAATTTGTTATGACAGCAACAGAAAACACAGATATTAAGGAAATTAGTTCCTTCTCTGTGCTCTGTTGGAGTGCTGTCAGTCCAATGTGCATTAGGTTAAGCTACTCATTGGTTAGCTGAAGCAAAACACAAACCGATTGTTTTGGGGGGAGTGAGGTGGGCAGGTACAGATGATGGTACTTTTTTCTTTTCTGACCTGCCCACAGCCAGCGAGAACAAGAAGAGGGTTCCTTTACTCATGCCAACACACTCAGGACGAAAAACCAGTGTTGGACAGAAGTGAGAAAATGGAACATGAGGTATAGTCGCCAAGATACGCTGGATGTGAACTACTACAAACACCATCATCTCTAGCATCACCCCTAAAAAGAAATCTAGGATAGAACGGTCTTGCTTTCTTCCTTCCCTCCCTCCCTTCCTTCCTTTACTGTATGCCCCATATGCCAGTCAGAGGACAGGACTTTTCTCTCCTTCCTGTTAACTTTGAAAGAGGCTATCAGGGGACCCTGGACGTCTCAGTCGGTTAAACGTTCAACTCTTGATTTTGGCTCAGGTCCTGAGATCTCAGGTCGAGGGATCAAGCCCCACAATAAGCTCCATGCTCAGTGGGTCAGTGTTCCCAGACTAAAGGAACCACAGTTGCTGGAGATCTCTCTCCCTCTCTGCCCCTCCCCCACCTCACACGGGCACATGTGCTCTCTCTCAAATAAATCAATCTTAAAAAAAAAAAAGAAAGAAAGAAAAGCTTTCAGAGAAGCTAAGGAAGCTATACGCCATCAAGGTATGTTATGCCCCGTAATTCCTTCCTGCAGATTGCTTCACACCACAGCACTTATCTTGTAGTACGTTTGAATATTAGATGCAAGATGTGACAGGTAGTTAAAAACATGCAATAAACAAAATCATAAAAATATCTACAATTCTGAAGTAATTAGGTTGCACTAATAGCTTAACTTTTAATATCTTCTATACCTATCTGTTGAGCTGGTACAAAGGATCTATAATGATAATACTGTGGTTAAGGTCATTATAGTACACACCACAGCAGAGTACCCTAACAGTCATCACTGAGAACCTTTACTAGCTTGCACAAGTTACTCAACTTCTGAGTTGCCCTGACTGTATCCACCCCACAACAGAGGACTCTAGGGTTCTAAGGCATAATCCAATTGTGTACACAGAATGCTCTGTATGGGGCTCTACTAATCCTGGTTATAATCATTGCCATGACACTATCATAATAATTAACACAATTGATTGACAGTATTTTAACACAATAGGGTAGTATCAATCCTTCAATGAAAAAAAATGTTACATTCTAACACAGAATCTAGTATCAGATAAACCAATTACTCTCTCCCAAGACTTGGTTACTGGTTACTTAATCATATCAAAAAACCTAAGACTACTTCTCAGTACAATCCTAAGACCTTGTGCCATGTAACTATGCATATATATAATAAGGATCAGAATTGTAATTTTAAGAGTAAGATGCAGTACTTACCTATTACTACCACAGGCAAAGTCACTGATGAATCTTCCAGTAAAGAAGTTTCTTCAACTAATGGCATAGCTTTAACTTTCTGCCCCAAATTATCACCAAAATATTGCACTAAGGAATTAAAAATCTCTCCTTCGGTTTCAGTGTCACTATAGTTTCTTCAAAAAAAAAAAAAAAACAAAAAAACAAGAAACAAAAAACAAGAGATGTAGTTTATATATGTGCCTTTATAAAAACCTGTCTTTATTCAGATTTAGACCATAAAATATGCAATAGTTCCATAAAAGGAGAAAAAGAAATTCTTCTGATTAATGCTTTCAAATTAGCTTAGCTTACCTGTCAACCTGTACCATTTTTAATGTCAGAAATCCTAAATAGCTGTTAATGTCTCTGTAGTACCATGTAGGCAAGTCCCACACAAGTTCTAAATAAGAAGCTACCTTTAAAGACCAAAGAGACAGCGTTGTATTGGGGATTTTTAGGATTCTCTGAGATTTCCTAGGAATGGCTAGTTTCTCTATTTTTTTCTCATTAATAAAAAGATAGGTGCACTACAGGTGGCATATTTGGAACAAAATAGTCATAATACTAAGGAAAAGTTAATTGTAGTTACATATTACAAACTGCATATTTTGGTAAAAGAAATGAGGTTTATCCATCTTAATTCTCAGATACTGAAAATTGGAAACAACTTTATGTTGATTTCCAATCTACCTTCTTTCCCAGTTGCCTCCCTAGAAACTAGTTTTAGCATTCTGACATGCTCAGGAAATAAATGGAGTAGCCTCCGAACACAGTTAATGTTCTGCATTACACTAGTGATTACTTCAAAACAGAATCCCCAAATTATTTTTCATCTTTATATAGTCAGCAGCAGGCAAATATCTGGAAATATTAAACTGAGCACCAACTATGGGTGAATGTGCTTACTACTCCTCCCAAAATGAAAATGAGATGGATCAGTTATTTCACAGGACTCACAGATCCCGGAGAATGATAAATAGAATTAGGCAGAGACCAAAATTTCTGCTTCCCTATAGCCTCCTAAGGTCCCAGTCTACCCTGGGATAGAGTTCCCCAGGATATGCTAACAGCTTTCCTGAAGAAGGTATAAACTCCACCCCAAATATTTGGACTCCTCTAATGATACATAGCCTTTTGGGACCAGAATAGATACCCTTTGGATAGGTCTATTAGGGAAAGCCCCTCCTTACACTGAAGCCTGCTCCTGGAAGAAGTATCTTATGCTCAGCTCAATGCATCCCTTTCAGATCATCCCAACTACTTCTCTGAGCAGATCCAGGTATACTAGTTACCCAGCCTGCTTCTGCGCAACTGCACTCAAATGAGTGTATTATACTCAGGCCTATTTCTGGTCTCTCTCCTGAATGTGTGCCGAGGACAGGTCCCCCAGCTCCCTCTGGATGCTTCTGATCAAAGTCCTTTTGCATACCCAGGCCTGATTGGTATTGTGGTGGCTGTAAAGGCAATTCTTTTTCAGACGATGCACACCTCATCTTCCAGATACCCCCACCTCAAACATTGTTGCTCCCATATATATAACCCGGGAAATAAAATATTTTTTAAAAAAAGATCATCACTGTTAATCAAAGAGATGTTTCCTTCAAACCTTAACTAACATTTCCTCCTTTTCAAGTGTGCGATTCAGGGTTGTTAGTAATCACAAGGTTTTGCAATTACCACTATTAATTCCAGAAAAATTTTATCACCTTCTAAAAGTGATAAACTAAGTTAACAGTAGCAAACTAGTTACTACTAAACTACAGTACCCATTAAAACTCATTCCCCATTCTTCCTTCCCTCCAGCTACTGGTGACCACTAATTGGGTCTTGTTGGATTTGCCTATTCTGGAAATTGCATATAAATGGAACCTCTCACACATTATGTGGCCTTTTGTGTCTGGCTTCTTCCACTTAGCATGTTTTCAAGCTTCACCCACAGTGTAGGGGGTATTGGTACTTCATTTCTTTTCATGCCTAAGTAATTTCTCACTGTAGAGAGAGAACACATTTTGTTCATTCACAAACTAATGAACATTTGAGTTGTTCCCATTTTTTGGCTACACAAATAATGCTGTGAATATTCATGGATAAATTTTGTGTGGATAAATGTTTTCGTATCTCTTACGAGTACATGCAATGGCTGGGTCATAAACTCTGTTTAACATCTTAAGGAATTGCCAAACTGTTTGCTAAAATGGTTGCATCATTTTACATTCCCACCAGCAATATAGGAGGGTTCCAACTTTTCCACATCCTCACCAACACTTACCTTTTTTTTTTAGTTACCCTCATTGGTGTGAAGTTACATCTCACTGCAGTTTTGACTTGCATTTCCCTAATGACTAACAATGTTAAGCATCTTTTCACACACTTTTTAGCAATTTGTATTAACTTCTTTGTAGAAATATTCTTCACCCACTTTCAAACTGGGCTTTTTTATTGAGCTTTAGAAATTATATATGTAGAGCACAAGTTCCTTTTCAGATATATGATTTGCAAATATTTTCTCCCATTCTGTGGGCTTTCCCTTTTTTTGTTGTCTTTTGAATCACAAAAGTTTCAATTTTTTTATTTTTGCTACTGTGCTTTTGGTGTCTACGAACCCACTCCCTAATCTAAGATCACCAAGATTTACTATTTCCTGTTTTATAGTTCTAGTTTTTAGATTTAAGTCTGTCATCCATTTTGAGTTAATTTTTATATATGTGATGTGTAAGAGTCCAACTCCATTCTTTTGCTTGTGGATATCCATTTGTCCTGGAATCATCTGTTGAAGAGACTGTGATCTCCCCTTTGTCTCGTGATCCCATGGAAAAACCAACTGACCATAAATTTAAGGATTTATTTCTGAACTCTCAATTCTATTCCACTGATCTCTTAATCTTTATGCACGCGCCACAGTGTCTTGCTTATTGTTTCTTTTTAGCAAATTCTGAAATTAGGAAGTGGGAATTCTCCGACTTTGTTCTTTTTCAAATTGTCTTGGCTATTCTAGGTTCCTTGCAATTCCGTATGAATTTTAGGATCTTGTCATTTCTGCAAAAAAAGGGTGCTAGGATTTTGATAAGACCGCACTAAATTTATAGATCAATTTGAAAAATGTTGCCATCTTAATTAAGAATACTAAGCTTTTCAATCCATGAACATGGGATTCCTTTTACTTAGGCCTTCTATAGTTCTTCTCAATGTTTTGTAGTTTTCAGTGTACAAGTCTTAAGACTTAGGAATAAGTATTTCTTTTTGATGCTAGTGTAAATGGAATTTTGTTAATTTCATTGTCAGACTGTTCACTGTTAGTGTGTAGCAATAGGATTTTTGTATGTTGACCTTATATTCTCCAATGTTGCTTAATTCATTTATTAGGTCTAGTAGGTTTTGTGTGTGGGCCTCCAACAATTTAAGTCTAGTCTGTTCCAAGACTCTAGAACATTAAGTAGAGCCAAAGTTTTAGCTTATCTAAATTCTCTATATAGTGTAAGTAATTAGATCTGATTTTCTACTGGTCATTGGTATAATCTGTACATATACAATATGTATATAACCTATAATAATAGTGGTATGTATATAATTGTATATGACCTATAATTCTGGTATAAACTATTTGTAATAAACTTGCACGGTATTTGAAAAATTTAATACAAATTAACACAGATGAAAAACTGAATCAAGAGAAGCAAACAAAAAACAAAAGTATGGTTCACTGATTCCGCATAAAGCAACAATGAAACAAAGGCCTCCTGATAAGTATTCTTTCTAAAAAATTCAGAGCCTAAGTTATAATTCAGTATTACTGCACGTTTTATAATATATTCATAATATATTACAGGTCTATGAACAGTTTCAACTTTTACTTGAGATATCCAACCTGATCAATGTTATGTTTAAAACAAGTATTTTGAGTAATAAAAAATCTACTTTTCCTTTATTTGGGATACTAAAAAAACAATTACATTTTAGGAAATAGTAAACAGCACTTTACACACATGCAAAAATAGTTGCCCTATTAGGTATAAAGACAATTTGATATTTTAGAGGATTTTAGAGCACTTCCATCTTTTGTTCTTGAAATATTATAGTCCAGTCTCGAAACAAACTTAAGAGGATGGCACAGGCATAAAATTTGGGTAACAAAGACTTTTCTCACATCTAGCAATACTTCTTTAAATGATGATTCAAACTCAAATGAAATGCTTTAGTATCTGAATTTTTATAGTCTTTGGAAGCATGATCCTAAATTGTCACCAGTTTAATACTACTATATGAAAAAAAAGGTTCTAAAGTCACAAATGAAGTCAGTCACACAGTTCATCTTCCAACACAGTAGGTATGGAACAAGCAGCTGGAAAGTCATTGGACAGTTATCACAATACCTATTCCTTTCAGGTATGGCACAAGATCCAAAATATACAAGTTTGTCACAACCTGTTTTAAAATGTGGGTTCCTAATAAAATTGCTCAAAACAATAGCACGAGTAAATTATAGACACCTTCCTAAAGAAGAGGTCTTAAATGTTTTAGTTTTTAAGTCTGAAATACAATGTAGTTATTTTTACAATGGAAATAAGGTTTATTAATCACAATTTTTTTCTTTTGGCTAGTAAGGCTTGTTTTCCTTTATCCCTCAAGATCAAAACATACCAACTACTTTTGTCTTCATCTCCTCCAAATTTCTGTACAAAGTGGTAATAGGCATATGGTATCCACGACCGAGGGTTAGTTGAATGGATATGAATCCCAACCTGTGTCCTTAGAGTTCAACTATACCAAAAGCAGTCAATTCACAGCTGCGCAGTCAAAAGGCTAAATTTTAGACAGCAGTGTCTGAAAGGCATGTTAATTTCTGAAGGGGCTTCAGTTTAACAAGTTTTCACTAGAGGAACCGGTTTTCACCCAAACTCTCCAAAGTGGATCTGATACTCTCAAACCAATGTCTGTCAAGTAGTCAACAAAGTTGCCTAAAACTTAAAAATCCAGCAATTACATCAAACATTTTTTTTTTTAATATCTAGAATTTAGAAACCCCTACAAAACTCACTGAGAAGTTGGGTAAGCCCGAACTGTTGCTCTCTATTAAAACAGGAGTTCTGAACCTTCTTGGTGCCTTACACTCCTCGGCAATTTGGTGAAACCTCTGAACCTCTTCGTTATTATTATTAAATACTTAAGAGATACATAGGATTTACAAGGAAACCAATTACATTAAAATACAGTTATAAAAAGTAAACTTGTGACATATTTGCACAAAAAAATAAGTAACAAGTTTGGTGATGTGTAATTACTGTAATTTTGAAAAAATAAGCATACAGTATTTCTAGGTATGTGCAACTGATATATTTGTGAATTTTATTGATGACAAGTTCATAAGTACTATGTGACTTGTTGCTTATATTCATAATTGAAAGACATATTAGATTTTGGCTAAAGTTTAGCAAAAATATCAGTTGTACCTTTCTTCCCACGCAAGTTCATGGCCACTTAAATTCTACCTACGAACTCCTAAAATTCTTGATCAGAGTTTCATATTTTGAGAAAAGTTTATACATTATTCTAGCACATTCATATATGCGAAGTAAGGTAATTTACTTAAGTCTTCGATAAATTGAACATTTATTCACCACAGGGTTAAAATCACTTCCAAGTGCCTTTAGCCTTTCTCCCCGTATGACTTAAATGTCTGCCAACTGTGCAAGAGAACACATACTTTTATTCTCAAATGCATTAACCTCTTCACCCTTAAGAACGTTCCCATAATGTGAGTCTTGAATGGCCACCTATTTCAAATTTCTGTAATATACAGCTTGCAATGACAAGCATCCTAGAACAAAGTTAGCACCTACTTTTAACTAGACCATCAGACTTAAAACAGTTTCCTACCTCCTTTCAACCCAATAAATTAGATTATTACGTTTATTTAAAAAATCTATAGACTGTAAAGGTGGGGTAGGAAGGAACCTTCGCAACTCTTCAAACTTTGCGCTACTCGGAAGTCTCAGGTCGCAGTAACCGACTCGCACCGGGTCTAGCCGGTTTCGAAGTCCCGTGACTGGCCCGGTCCCGGAGAGAATGAGAGGACAAGAGAGGAGTGTCCTCCCCCTCCCCTCCCCGGAGCGAGGTGCCCCCAAGCAGAGGCTGCCGAGGCGGGAACCCTGAGGAGGCAGGAACCAGGAGGAAGCGGCGGCCGAGGCGGGAGGCCGCTGCAGTCCAGGCGCTCGCCCCCCACCCCGGACCCGTCCCGATTCCAGACCGGTCCTGACTCCGACCCCGCCCGGCCTCTGCCCATCTCGGCCCCAGCACGGGGCCGGGAAGCGCTCCACCCTCCGCCTGCTCCCATCCCCTCCGCTCCCCGGCTGAGAAGTCACCTGAAATGACCGGCCAGGGAGCAGCTGCAGCACCACACCGGCATGGAGTGCGGCGCACGGGGCGCCTGAGCGCGACCGCCACGGCCGCCGCCGCCGCCGCCTGCCCCGGCTGGGCTGCCCGTTCGGGGCGCCCGCCCACTCGCCCGGGGTCGCGGGCTCCGCGGGGCGCCAGCGCTCCGCGCGTCGCCGTTACTGCGGCTGCCCGGAAGCTGCGGTTCAGTAGCGGGCCGGGCTCCGGCGCTCCGAACTCCGCCTCAGAAAAAGCGGCTTCCGCTCCTCGCTTGCGGGGAGCCAGACGCCGGCGGCGGATGATCTGGGGGCGCCGCGATGGGGGCGGAACGGGGCGGGGACGCTGCGACGGCTGCGGCGGAGACGCGCGGGCTCCTCCTCGCAGGTGCGGCGGCGGCGGGCGAGGCCGGCGATTGGTGGAGACGCGGCCGGGGCGAGGGGCCGGGCCTGACGGAGCGGCGGCTGCGCGGGCCTGGGGCCGAGGTCCTCGCGCCAACCGGACCGCTGCGGCAGCAACCGGGGACCCGGGCCTCGGCCTGCGCCCCGCGGCCCCTCCGCGTGCACCCTCCTCACGGCCTGGGGGGTTAGCAGGGCTGGGCGGATGCGCGTCGAGAGGACCGGATGATGAGAGGAAGAGAAAGCTGTAGCAGAACGGCTCGGGGGGGAGCCCTGCGTACACCGCGGCCTCGGCGACCGGGGAGCAACGCGGCGTCACCCCAGTCCGTCCGCGCGGGACTCCCACCGAGGAGGCCAGGGAAAGGCCGAGAGTCCCACCCAAGAAACCCACCTTAGCGCCTTTTCTCGCGCTGGCCTGGGCGCAGACGCTGGGAGCTTCTGCGCGCTTCTCGCTTTCGACTCTGCATCACAATCGCCTGGGGCGTGGTGGGGGGGTGGGGGAAAACACACCAAACTACAGGTGCCCGGGCTCCACCCCCAACTGTTCTGATGGTGGAAGTCCTGCTTCCTGAATGAGGGGGAGCCTCCCTTCCCTAAGTAAGTGGCTCGCAAACATTCACTAGTGTGAGAATCACCGACGTTGCTGGCTAAAAGTACAGGTGCTTAGCCCCGCCCAAGACTTACTGAGTCCGTTTCCGGGCGGGGGAAAGGGCGGGAACGCGTATTCTAAGTCCCTCCAGGTGAACGGGATTCAAGAGAAGTTAGAAAAGTACCGAGTAGTGAGTGTCCCTATTCGATGTTGTCAAAAAATAGAGGCGGGAAAAACTAGAAGTGATTGATTGCATGTGCTGTTAGATGTAGATGTCTTCCTATTCCCACTTCCAAAAAAGCCCAATTATTTTTGCGGTTAAAATGTAAGACACATAGGGCGCCTGGGTGGCTCAGTTGGTTAAGCGACTGCCTTCGGCTCAGGTCATGATCCTGGAGTCCCAGGATCGAGTCCCACATCGGGCTCCCTGCTCAGCAGGGAGTCTGCTTCTCCCTCTGACCCTCCCCCCTCTCATGTGCTCTCTCTCTCTCTCATTCTCGCTCTCTCAAATAAATAAATAAAATCTTTAAAAAAAAAAAATGTAAGACACATAGTTTCTGTTTTTAAATAGTTTTTTTTATTTAAGTTCTCTAGTTTTGCTGAAAGTTGTCATTGAACGAAATTGCACATAGCAGGTATTTTAGATTCTGTGGAGCTTAACAGAAAATTGTAGGACTCAGCCTGCCTCCAGGGTTATAAAAAAATTCTGTTTTTTCTCTTGTCTTATTGACAATTTGACACGTTCACTTCATTTAATGTCTCGAAAAGTGAAGCATGAAGTTACTTTTCTGTTACTAGTTATAACATTATCCTTCTAAAGGACCTAAATTCCTAAAATGTATGCCAATCCAGAGAATTGAAATATTTAAAACCTTATGTAAGAATGTTTATAAGTATTTTGTGTAATTTTTCCTTTATGGCTTTGTTTTTACTTTGAGTTTTCTTGAAGTATTTCAGATCAAATAGTAAAGTGAGCATATCAAATTTTAGGCTTAATCTGGTTTGTATTTAAACCTTGTGAACTTGGCTATTGTGGTTTACACTATATAATGGTTTATGATTAAATCAGGCCACAATGACTACATAGAGGATTTTTCTTACAATTAGAGTTTTTGTATTTTTTTTTTAAGATTTTATTTATTTGTCAGAGAGAGCACGAGTGGTGGGAGGGGCAGGCAGAGGGAGAGGCAGGCTCCGTGCTGAGCAAAGAGCCTAATGTGGGACTCAGTCAGGACCCCGGGATCATGACCTGAGCCAAAGGCGTCCCGGAGATTTTGTATTTTTATTTTGCATTGTAGGTGAGGTCTTATTTAAATATAAAATCCAGGTTTTATAATAAAAAATAAATATAAATTGTGAGGTTGTGGGGCAACAGACTCAGATACAGCTGGTGAGAAGGTAAATTAGTATGTAATCCAGTACTCCCTCACCTGCATAGTAGAACCTCCGTGGACCTTTCAGCCCCCACACTAGTGCGCTTATCTCACACCAGAAGCCTTGCCACTGCACAGTACTTTCTGGACTCCCAGCATTACCGGGTTGTAGAATCCTTACTGAACAACTCTTCTTACTGGTATATAATGTGCCGTATGTCATACATTTAATTATAACCGAGTGGCTCAAAGGACTGTCTGTTGGAACCTTCACTGTGCAGCTAAGGTGATCTTGGACAAGTTACTCAGCATCTCTGGGCTTTGATTCCTCATCTATTATGAACTTACTTCTTTGGTTGTAAGGATTAAATGAGAAAATACTTGGGGCACCTGGGTGGCTCAGTCGTTAAGCGTCTGCCTTCGGCTCGGGTCGTGATCCCAGAGTCCTGGGATCGAGCCCCGCATCGGGCTCCCTGCTCAGCGGAAGCCTGCTTCTCCCTCTCCCACTCCCCCTGCTTGTGTTCTCTCTCTCGCTGTGTCTTTCTCTGTCAAATAAATAAAATCTTTAAAAAAATAAAAATAAAAAAATAAATGAGAAAATACAAAGCACTCATCACAGTGTCTGGCTCATGTTAATCATTGAAAAAATGTTAGTCTTCATTATTATCAATAATAATACTGTAAAATATTTTTACATTTTCTAAAGCAGAAATTCAGAAAGTATGGATTGAACTGTGCCCCTTGCCAAATTCATATGTTGAAACGCTAACCCCCAGTGTGACTATATGTGGAGATAGGGCCTGTAAAGAGGTAATTAAGGTTATATGAGGTCATAAGTATGGGACTCTAATCCAGAAGGCCTGGTACCTTGTAAGAAGAGCAGCTTTTTTTTTCTGCCAGGAGAGGGTGGGAAGCCAGGAAGAGCTCTCACCAGGAACCACATTGGCAGGCACCTTGATTTCAGACTTCACAGTCTCCAGAATTATGAGAAAATGTCTGTTGTTTAAGCCACTCAGTCTGTGGCATCTTATTATGGCAGCCCAACCTCACTAAGACAGTATGTTTTTGCATTTTCTAGAAGCAAACAAAAAATTTTAATGTACACTATTCGAAGTAAACCACTGCATTTCATAAAGTAGGTAATCTATCAAAAGATCATCTCATGCAGTAGTTTGGTAGTATAATACTCAGTTTTAGAGTGTTCTAGAAAACATTGTAGAAAAAACAGTTCCTCCTTTATTGAAGCTCCAGGAAGCTCAGATACCTTTCAGATTTCTTATCCTCAAGCCTATCAATAATTTTCGGTACAGCGAATACCTCTGTTGAGCTGTCAGTTTGGAATTCTTAACTAATTCAATTCTCTATTTTGATGGCATAGTATGAGTGCTTTCTTGACTACACAGAAAACTGGGGCCAGAAGCTGGTGCTAGAGACTTAAGATGAAGTTTATTACTGCAGCTTGAACTTAGGACAGAGAGAAAAATACCAAAGAGGCTGCTTGCTAAAAATACAATTTATTTTTGCGAATTTTGTAGCAGTCAGGCTCTGTTGCGAGGAACAGAACTCATGAATTCACTCAAGCTAACAAGAATAAAAGGAATTTCTTACAGGGTATTGACATGTTGCAGAATCATAGGTAGACTGAAGACCATAGGTAGGACCTGAGAAAAAATACTCAAAGTCACAATGAAAGGGTAAACCAAAGGGCAAAGAGGAGCTGCTGCCTATCTGTGGCCAAGATGCTGCCTGCCAAATTTGCTGTTTTGGCTACAGCTGCTGATTCCAGAGCTGTACCTGACATTGCAATACTTTATTTATTGTCTGTCTCCCTCTATATACAAAGGAACTTAGTTTTTCTGTTCACGGTTATATACCACAGCACTGAGAACAGATCTTGGTTTGTAGTAGGGATAAACACATAGCATCATAGGTAACACTCATCCAGTAAACCAGCAGGGCCATTGTTGGATAAGCCTTTAACTAAATGGAAGGGGGAAATATGAATTACAACTCATTTGTCTGTCTCATTGCCTGTAAGGTCAACTTATACACTCTGCATTACTACAAGATTAGAGAAAAGGAGAAAAGTAGAGAATAGAGAGAGGTAGTCAGTGTGACCAAAAAGATAAGTCATTCAGAATTAATCAGGGTTTCAACATCAGAATAGAAGATCTGGAAAGTAAGGGCAGAGAAGATGGTTGGATGAAATTTACAAGAAAAAAATATTCAAAACTAAAGAGAGACATGAGTCTGCAAATGTATAAGACCTACTGAGTCCCAAGAAGGAAAGAGAAAAGGTCTGCATGGAGGCATATGTTAAAATTTAAGGATAGCAAGAATTAAAAGATTCTAAAAGCTTCCAGAGAGCAAATACAGGTCCTCTATAAAGGAATGAGAATCAGGCCAGCAATAGGCTAGCTTCCCATCAACAGGACCGGAAATTAGGAGATGAGCAAGCCTGAAAGTTCCATGGGAAAATGATTTTGAATTTGGAACTCTAAACCAAGCCAAACTATCAATAAAATATGGGGGCAGAATGAAAAAGAAAGTTAAACATGAACTGAGAAAGCCTCCTCACCCAAATACTCTTTTTAAGGGTGTTACTTAAGAACGTGGGGTGGCAAAACAAGGGAATTATCCAAGAAATTGGAGCAGGTTGAATGTATGAACAATAGGA